ACTACTGCTAGAACTAGATGGTTTACTACTGCTAGAACTAGATGGTTTACTACTACTACTAGATAGACTACTAGGTAGACTACTAGACAAAATATTGCTAGAACTACTACTAGATGGTTTACTACTGCTGCTGAATAAACTATTTCTGTTACTACTACTACTAGAACTACTAGACAGGATACTAGACAGACTACTAGATAGACTACTAGATAATTTGTTACTACTAGACAATCTACTACTACTAGATAGACTACTAGATGGCTTGTTACTATTAGAACTAGATAATTTGTTACTACTACTACTAGACAGACTACTACTAGAACTACTTCCATTACTACTAGATAATTTACTACTACTTCCACTGTTACTACTAGACAGACTACTGGAACTACTAGACAATCTACTACTACTAGACAGACTAGAATCTGATAAGCTAGACCCACTACTACTAGAAAGGCTAGACCCATCACTTATGATACTTTGTCCTAGTGTCCACCTGAAGAATACATTTATCACTGCAAATGATGACCATCCGAATAAAACTATTCCTAATCCACTTACTAGCAATATACTTAGTACTGTAGGCAGTGGTAATTGTGTGGTACTGTATAAGGAATAGCATAAAGTGCTTGCTACCCCGAATATATAACTGGAAGATAGGAGTGAATTATGCCGTAAGAAGTAAAGATAACAAGAAAATATCTCGAATCTATCTGACATATTAGAGAGATATATCTCTGATGAACTACTCTTACGGATCATTTCCTTACAGAAATTTGAGGCAGAGCAGACACGTGACCCGAAAATAGACCTAAGACCCTTTGTAAGAATACTAAGACTATCATTAGAGTACGATGGAAATAAAACAGAATAGATTATCTTCCTATCTGCCTTGCTGATTGATGAGTCTTCGATCAATATTTCTATCTCAGAGAGAGTACTATTGTACCTTGAATAGTGCAAAAGTACTTTATGGTTAAGAGAACTTTGCAAGTGCAAGAGTGAAGAGAGTGATAATGGAGAGGAAGATGAGTGGCTAGATTGTCTTGATCTTGATGAATTGGAAGATGAGTGGCTAGATTGGCTAGAACTTGATGAATTGGAAGAATTTGATGAATTTGATGAAGACAAAGTTCTTTCAATAGTGCTTGAACTGCTTCCTAATGCGCTTGAACTGCTTCCTAATAGACTGCTTACATCGTAAATACTGCTGCCACTGCTACTAGATCCTTCTAGAAGGACTTTCTGGCTGGATAAATATCTGAAGACATCTGATATTTCTTGAAGGAGTCTGTCTTTTCTTTCTGTTAGAAGGGTTAGTTTTAGTTTGAGGATTTTTCTGAGCATCTTTGGGTCCTTTGATGATGAAATGTATTCTATTTGGCTTGCACCACTTTGTAATAAAATACTTCTTCTTTGTACTTTTTGGCTTAGATGTGATAGTTCCTTTAAGTATTTGGATAATTCTGAAAGGCACTTTGCTTCTTCTTTTTCTTTTGATCTTGTGCGTCTTTTTTCTGGAACTGAATGGTTCTTTGAAAAAACTCTCAGAAATTTAACTGAATCTGATGAGAGTGATGACTTCATTTGATTTTCTGCTGCTGAATCGTATTAATACGGGACGGGGTAAATGCACCAATAGACAGACTCTGGATCAACAAATAATCAGTGAATATAAATGAACCAATTATTAATTTTAGTAACGGATTATTCAAAAACCAAAATAAAATCACTTATATACACCCTTAGAAGGCAGCAGTTCTTGCTTTAATGCACTGTAAGTATATATATATTTTACGGATAAATTAACATAAAAATAACCCTAATTATGAGAACCTTATAGTCCCACAGCTAACATACTTGTTGCCTTCTTAATTTCCCATTTATATGCTAATTTCCATGACCAATAAGATCCATTATGAGCATTCTTTAATTAACCAGTATTTTCATCCAACAAAGTACACAGGGGCACTATGAGAATCTAATTGGTAATTAAATCAATTCACTTGCAATGTAGTTGAATACTTCTATTAGCACAAGATTGGTTAATTAGTCGTGATTATCAAGATATATCCTAAGGATATGTCCAAATATAACAGGATCTTAGTCAAATATTTCTTATTGTTAGTCTATATACTAGTAATTTCAAATAAATTTATTTTCAGTTTTCTTGTCGACAACAAATAATGTTGCCAGTGGCTCTATATATAGTAGTAATTTTAAATAAATTTTTATCTTTAGTTTTCTTAGTTGGCAACATGGCGTCCTGACAGGTTTAAAGAGTAGCGCAAAGCTCGGGTCAAGTTGACGTAGAAAAGCTATAAGAATAGCTAGATCAATAACAGACTCATTATATTATTGCCGCTTGTACAGAGGAGAGGGGAAAGGAGGAAGTATAAGATTGCCGATAGTATCGGACTGAGTACTCTCAAATCTGGGACTAAAGATCAAAAAGAGGAGGAGAGAGTGATTCAAGATTAAAGACAGATGAAAGACAAAGAAGTTTTTGCAGAAGGCATGAAGCAAGAAGAGTTAGTCAAGAAGTGGAAGAGAGTGTTCTCAATGGAACCATCACAGGGATACCAAGGCGAAGAGGTGCAGATAGAAACACCGCCAGGGTTGAGGATAAACCAGTCATGGGGAAGGAAACTACCAATGGAGTGGGACAAAAAAAAATAGACGAAATGACAAACAAGTTGCTTAGGGAAGGAGTGATTGAGTTATCAAGGTCAAGGTGGTGCAACCCAGTGAAAATAGTGGAGAAACCGGATGGTTCACTGCGGCTGTGCCAAAACCTAAGAAAACTAAATACAATAGTGGAGGATGACAAATACTCGTTGCCAGAGATTGAGGGAATACTCGTGAAGGTAGGGCAGAAGAAATGGTTCACAGTATTAGATCTAAAGGATGGATACTTCCAGATAAGGTTACACAAAGACAGCAGAGAGAAAACAGCATTCAAGTTGAAGAACAGGTTATACCAGTGCAAAAGGTTGGTGATGGGGTACAAGAACTCACCAGCGATATTTCAGAGAATCATGGACAAGGAGCTAGACGGAGTGATCGGAAACGGATGCGAGGTGTACTTAGACGACATCATAGTATACGGCAACACGGAGAAGGAGCACGATGAAAATCTGGACAGAGTTATGAGAAGACTGGACAAAGCAGACTTAAGAGTGAAGGAGGTGAAAATGCAGTATAGAAGACAAGAGGTACTGGCATTAGGACACATAATCAACGGAGAGACAGGTAGGCCAAAAGAAGACAAGGTAGAGGAAATGCGAAGATGGGCAATGCCAGAGACAAAAGAGGAACTGAGACGATTCCTAGGATTCATAAATCACTATAGCCGGTATATAAAAGATTTTGCCAATAAAACAGCCGAGCTATATGACAAGATGAAGGAGGGCAGCAAATTTGAGATGAGACAGCAAGACAAGGAGACAGTAGAGAGACTAAAGGAGGAGTTTGCAACAGCAAAGTTGGACACATGGGTGGACGGACGAGAGATAGTACTTACAACGGACGCAAGCGGGGTGGCCGCAGGGCGGATATTATCACAGATAGACGAAAAGGGGAATGAGAGAATCATAGCATTTGGGTCGTACAAGTTCAAGAGCGCAGAGAGAAACTATGGAATCACAGAAAGAGAGTTGTATGCAATGGTGCTGGGAATAGAGAAGTATGAGCATTATTTGCGGGGACGAAAGTTTACAGTGATTGTGGATCACCGAGCATTGGAGTGCTGGAACCGAAAAATGGAGTTCGGGAGTGAGAGAATACAGAGGTGGATGCACAGAATAGATGGTTTTAACATGGTGGTGAAGTACAGAAAAGGAAGCGAGATGACAGCAGTAGACGCACTATCCAGAAGAGAGCAGATGGACGTAGAGAAGACAACAGAGCGAGAGACAGAGTACGGGATATCAAGTAAGAGCAAGTATTGGGTGAGAATTCAATGGAAGAACGGGACACCGTGGATCGAGGGAGCCGACGGGCTAGACAGAAGACTAATAAAGACAAGAATGAAGACAGACATAATGAACAGAGCACACGAAGAGACAGGCCATGGGGGCATGGAGAAGATGAGGGACTGGATAGAGACAGACCAGGAAAGCACGTGGGTAGGACTGAAGACAGACCTTTTGGAGAAGGTGAAGAGCTGCGAAAAATGCCAGAAAAACAATCAGAAGAGAAGCATATCAAAAGGGAAATTCATTGAAACCGGGAAGGCTTTGGAAATGGTTGGCATGGACGTGATGGGGCCGGTAGAGGAACACAACTTAGTGTGCGTACTGGATTATTTCACGCGGATTGTGATGGTGAGAGCAAAGAAGGGCAGAGGAGCAGCAGACATGATAGCAGTAATGGAGGAGTGGATACAGACAAGAGGGAAGCCAGAGAAGCTGGTGACAGATACAGCAAAAGAGTACGTAGCAGACAAGTGGATGAGGTTTTTGGAGAAAACAGGGATAGAGAACTACAGAGGATCAATAGAGGTACATGCAACACTGAGGAGAGTGGAGAGAGTCATAAAGTCAGTATGGGAGATATACAGAAAGATAGGGACAGACGGAGAGCTAAAGGACAGAGTGCAGCGGATAGAGAACGCAATAAACGGTCGAAGACACGACGAGATAGGGATGAAGCCAAACGAGGCATGGGAGATAGCACAAGGACAACAAGACGCACCAGGGAGGGTCGCGCAGGCACAGTATACTAGGGGAGAAAACGCAGGCAATGGCGGGTATACACACAGACAACAAGACGCACCAGGGAGGGTCGCGCAGGCACAGCATACTAGGGGAGAAAACGCAGGCAATGGCGGGTATGAGAACAGACAAAAAGACGCACCAGGGAGGGTCGCGCAGGCACAGTATACTAAGGGGGAAAACGCAGGCAATGGCGGGTATACACACAGACAGAAGGACGCAGAGGAAGGACGGGCAGACAGAGACATTCGAATGGACATTTTGAGAGAGAAAAACTCAGCAAAGGGGGAGTACGCAAGGAAGCGATTTCAAGAGGAAAAGGATGAGGCAAAGGCAAAGGAGGGCGAGACAGTGTGGTTTAGGAAGAAGCCAGAGAACAAGAAACAAGACAGATTTCCAAAGGAGGGAAAGGTAGACAGAGTGACAGAGGAAGGAACATACTTGGTGACAGAAGCAGACACAGGCAAGAAGAGTAAGATCAGTCATAGGAGGATCAAAAGAAAGGTGATATGAAAGAGAAGATGCCGGGAAAAGACAAGTATAAAAAGAAAATTGCAAGAGGGAAAAACATGACAGGTAGAAGACCAAAGGACGACGTAACAGAGGAAGGAAACACAGATCAACAAAAGCTGAGTTACACAGTACAGATAGCAAAGGAAGAGGTGAGTCGAAAGTGGATAACACGAGAGACACTGCAGCTGGACATAAAGGACGTGGACCGAAAAGGCAAGGGAGACGAGGTGATGAAAAACCCAAGAGACACAATGGAGAAAGAGATATGGATTTGGTGGGGAAACAAGTTCGGTGAGAAGAAGCCACCACAGACATGGGTCGAGTTTAAGGAAGAAGTTGTGAAGAACTTTATGAGTGCAGAGCAGAAGGAAATGCCAGAGTTACTACAAGACGTAGGAGAGTCGATGAAAGATTGGTTGGAGCGTGTGGAAAAAGTAGGAAACAAGCGAGGAATAAGTCAGAAAGAAATCAAGAAGTGTATGTGCCGAGGATGGTCGAACATGAAGATGAGGAGATTGATGATGAAGGACGAGTTGTTGAAACGAGACATGGAGGAGTTCAAACAGGAGGTTATCAGGATGGACAGGGAGACCAAAAGAGATAAAACAACGCAGGGCAAAAGAGACAGTCGAGGTAGCGGGAAAAGCATAAAGTGCTTTAAGTGCGAGAAGGAAGGTCACATAGCAAAGAATTGCACAGAAGTAGTCAAGTGAAGAAATTTTTAATTTATTTAGAACGAAAGCAGAGAGAGAGCGGACAGACAGAAAGAGTGGAAGAAACAAGCAGTCAGAGGAAGTAGGAAGACAAAAAGAGCAAGGAGGCCCCCACAGTAAGGTGAAAAAAGTATTGAAAATTCTAGGGGGGGATGTTGCCAGTGGCTCTATATATAGTAGTAATTTTAAATAAATTTTTATCTTTAGTTTTCTTAGTTGGCAACAAATAATATTAAAATAGACTGTAAATAACTGTGAACAAATATAGAGTAAAATTAGAATATTATTATAAAGTCAACCAGCCTAAAAGAGTAACTATTTAATTCTGTCATAATTCTACTATAATTCTACTATTCCTGCATGAATATCCTTCATATGCATCTTCATGAATAATTCACTTTTCTAAATGTAGCCAGAACATACCAGGATATAACCAAAATATACTAAATATACTAGAATATAACCAAAATATACTAAATATAACTAAAATATACTAGAATATAACTAAATATAACCAGAACCCGAGAATATAACTAAATATAACAAGAATCTACTAGAATATAACTAGAATATACTAGAATATACTAAATATAACAAGAATATAACCAAAATAATATACTGAATATAACTAAATATACTAAAATATAACTAAATATAACAAGAATATAACCAAAATATACTAGAATATAACTAGAATATAACCCGATATAACTAAAATATAACCCGACTAGATATAACCCAATATAACCCTAAATCCCAGAAACCTCATAGTGCCTGCAGTTCTTCCATGCATACTGCCTTTCTACTGCGCCTTCTGCTGTTATACTTTGCTACTACCATATGTACACACATAATTATGTATAAATATGTAATTATCTTGATGTTGCAATGCTTCTGCATCTCAGAGAGTGCAAAATAGGATATTCCTTCAAAGAAATATCTGAACATCTTTATGTAATCGATGAATTTATGCGATGTATATGCGTATATATGATCTTTCTGTAAAATAACTGGTGTTTTTGTTATTTTGTGCTGTAGTATTAAGGAGATGTCAAATGGAGAGTGCATTAATACATCTACATCTGGCAGTAGAATATCTGATGATTTAAGCAAATAATCCACTGAGCCAGAAATACACGTGCAATTAATCCAGCAAGTGCACTTTTCGTATATCTTTGAAAGGTCTCTCTGAGAGTACAAAATAATTGGTCGAGTATTCCGTGTGCTGAACTCATTTCTTGTAATGAAATGTATTCTATAATTTGGGATATACGTATACAGTAAGACACTCATCCCAATGTATGCGAAAATAATGAGAAATGTACGTATGCTTGTTTTCTGTTTCTTCATGAATCTGCAAATATTAATATTATAAATAGATAAGAAAATGAAAGATTAATTAGATTTATGAAATGAAAGACAATAAGAAATAATAATGAGAGTATATGTAGATTGATAAATATAAGTAAAATAGAAGAAGTAATAAATATATCAAAGGAATTCCCTTGGGACATGAGAATTGCAGGGAAACAATTGAAAGTCACTACACAGTAGTTCTATCTAGACATACTATAGGATTTATTTCAACTATTGAAATTCTAGATGAGCAGTCTACTGTAAGCATATTATGCTCTAGACAGAAGTATTATAGCCTTCTTAAGAGACCATCTATCTTGTTGTTTTATTCTCTCTAATCAATAGATTTTCATAGATATCCTTCCCTACCAGGATCTTAGTAAACTATCCTTCACTGAATATATTCTAAATATCAGTGAATATCACTAAATATCACTGAATAATATTCTAGTATTTGGGTTATATCAGTGAATGCTATTATAAATTCGGGTTATTCAGGTTATATCAGTGAATAATATTCTAGACTAAATTCACTAAATATCATGCTAGTATTCTAGACTAAATTCAATGAATATCACTAAAAATACTCTAAATATCACTAAATATCAGTGAATACCAGTGAATAATTAACCAAATGAGACTACGTTATAACCCAAATACAACCCAAATATAATCCAAATATAAACCTAATAGGTGTAATCTCTCAAGATATTTATGTTTTATCACTGCATATGACTGTGATAACTGTGATATTCTTATGAATAATGATGACATTTTAGCACAAGAATATCTATGAGAATATATTTACAACATAAATATACACTAATAAGTCACTTTATATACGGGATATACTGTGATATCCTTGATATCCCATGAAAATCAACTATATTCAGATTATATTTATTCCTTGCGTAAGAATTCCATGCACAACCTTATAACAGCCTAGTATAACCTGATTTGTTAAAATTAAAACCACAGAAGGGAACAAATAGTTTATTCTATCCAGGTGGGATGGCTGTTCTTATCTATCTTATAGATCATATTAAATACTCTTTCTGCATCTGCTCTAGTAGCACACTCTATAGTTCCATTTTCAGAAACCCGAATGACCCCAGGGTATGTGTGCAGGTGTTCATTTGTCATCCACTCTTGCCTGTTATTGATAATGAAGCGGGTTGACAGATGCTCAGCCCCTTGGCTTCCCCTGGGCCCCCTGCATATAAGCCTCCTGAGTTGCTCAATGAGTGACTGTGCATCAGCCGGTAAATCTGTCCGTCTGCTTAACAGATCAATGATTTTTCTTTGTCTTTCTAAGACGGCCTTTGGTGCACCCCCATGGAATCTTTCTTCTCTAGGTGATATTGCAGGTCTCTCGTCTATTTCCATCATAGGGAGACCAACTGAAGGGTGTTTGAAGTAACAGCCTGGTCTCCTGCAGTGTGCACCATCTCTGCACACTCTCTTCTGGTAGCCAAATAATCTGTTCACAAATAGTTGAGTTCTGTCCTCAAAGACAGGCTGCAGAATATTCAGCAGCTGCTCCTTTGGATTTGCTTCGTGACTGACTAGCTCTATCTTTGAGATTATTTCATCTGGGTTCTCACTTGTGTAATTACGAATCTCCTTCCTAAGATATATTCTTAAGTTTTTGTCCATCTCAGGGACCCTCTCTGGTGTATATCCTCCTGGTGCACTGCCGCTTGTCTCTGCGTAATTTCTCTCCATAAAAATGAAATGGTTTTTTTCGTAATGACTACCAATGAAGAGAGAGAACAGAAGGAAAATATAACAGAAAAGATTGTTAGGCACATTCTTAGTAAAGAGTCCCTTACTAGACTCCTAAACATAAAGGCAGTTGACTTAGAGAGATATTACAAAATAGAAGGATTACTTTGTGACATATACAGAACACAGCACGTGCAAGAAATAAGCAATGAAGATTTTCTTAAAATCATAAAGCAAACGGAAAAGCAAAAGACAACATTCGTATACAGAAGTAGAACAAGCATAATGGATGACTTAGATTAAATAATAAATAATATTATGTGATATAGTGATTTGTAAGTTCAAGGGTTATAGAGTTATAGAGGAAGAGAGCGAGAGAGAGAGGGAGAGAGGGAGAGAAATATTTAATGGAAAAATAAAAGTATTTGGGGTATCAAGAGGTTTTTAGTCTGTTGTATACTAGGGGGTATCGAGAGATATTTTAGTCTATGGTATACTAGGGGGTATTTTAGTCTATTGTATACTAGAGGGTATTTTAGTCTACTGTATACTAGAAGGTATTTTAGTATATGAAGACATTTTAGTATATGGGGAATATTTTAGTCTACTAGAATTTAGTCTATGGGAAGAAAATTACTCTCATGAATTTAAATTAAAGTACATCCCTGTTACAATTAGTCTACTACTGTATATTCCCACTACAATTAGTCTACTACTGTATACTCCCACTATAATTAGTCTACTACTGTATATCTCTTTAAGTGGTTTTTTGATATTTTCATGTATATTGTATGCTTGTAGTATTTATATGCACTTTATACTCTTTTATTCTATTTATATATATCCTGAGTTACTGGAATTTATTCATATTCATTGAATTTTCAGCTAAAATTTTCATGGACAAGCAAAAGAAGAAGATTCTCCAGAAATTGGAGGGAAGCCTTAAAGGAGCAAAATTCAGAGTTTTAAATGAAGTCCTGTACAGAAAGAAGGAGAAGAATATTGACCCAGAATTATTCAAAAAGTATCATGAAGGGTACAGGGAACAAGCAGCAAAATGGCCATTTAACCCAGTAGACAGAGTCATAAAGCAGCTAATAAATGTAGATGCAACCCACATAATTGCAGACATGGGGTGCGGTGATGCAGCAATTGCAAAAAGATTCCCAGACAGAAAAATCCACTCATTCGACTTAGCAAAACCAGATGGAAATAATTTCATCACTCAAGCAGACATAAGGAATGTACCACTTGACCAAGAATCCGTTGATGTAGTGATTTTCTGTCTCTCTCTCATGGGAAACAATGCGAGTGACTATATCCAAGAGGCATACAGGATACTTAAACCAGGCGGTTTACTGAAAATAATTGAAGTAAGAAGTAGATTGTACAAAATAGACCAATTTATAAGGCCAATGTCCATGCACGGATTCTCCCTTCTATCAAAGGACCTGGAGAGCAACTTCTTCTGCTTCTTCAACTTCAAAAAGACATCAAAGAGAGTGAAAACCCTGCCAGAAATACCCTTCAAGCCGTGCGTATACAAGAAGAGGTAGTACAAGGATATAACCAGAACTGACTAAATACAGCCTAAATTACAAATATACCCTTCCCCCGTTAGTGCACACAATTAAAATAATAAATAGAGTATACTACACCAAGAGATAATTTAGAAGGCACCATCAAGACCGCATACTAGACAGTATATCATAATGATAAATATATTCCACTTTTATTCCAAGACCAAAAGAGGTTCTATCTCTACTTTTAATTCTCCAAAATATTCTTGGTACTAGAAGGTGACTAGATATAATTTTGTTGTCGACAAGAAAAATAAAAATATTACTACTATAGAGAATTATTAATACTAGTAGATTACTAGTAGTAGAGAGAGACTGAAAACAAATAATTATTTAAAATTATTACTACTAGAGAGAATTATTATTACTAGTAGTAGTAGAGAGACTGGAAACAGAAAATATTAAAGGAGTGAAATGTCTACAGTAAGAAATATTCAACAAAAATACAAAAGATATTACTAAGTGACAACTATCTACTACTATCTGGCTATCTACTACTACCTTATAATACTATCCTAGAACACTATCTCCTATCTGTAACATTGCTCCCATTTGGGAATATCTGTTATATCTCATAATATTAGTCTATTTGTACTACTAGAACCAAGAGTATGAAATATAACAGTAATTAGGCTGTGAATACAATAGTACCCATGAGTATATCTTATAAGATCAACCATAAATACACATTTATCCCATATATACTAAAATATAACCCGAATATTTCTACCCATTAAAATTAGTCATAATCTACACCTGTCCATTCTCTTCCATTAAAACACTCTCTTCTACATTAAATATTCCCATATATTCCCATATATTCATAGAAATATTTTTTCATTAATTCAATGGCCATTCTGTTTACTCAAATAGTGAGACAATCTGACAACAGGATAATCGTATCTGCAGAGTGCCCTCTCTCCAGATACTTTGAGAGTGAACATACGAAAGTCCTGGATGATATGACAAGTATCCCAGATAAATTCCCAAATGAAACACAATTCTGCAGTACGCAATCAACAGAAGAAGGAATAGTAATATATTTCAAGCAGTTTAAAAGTATCATAATCCTGAGTGCAGTTGAAATAGGTCTCTCTAAGACATCAATTTCACTATTTTTTGAGAGACTGAAGGACTTATTTGAGAAAGAGTATGGAGAAGACCTGTCCAGTAATATGTCGTATATACGCTTTGAAGATATAATTAAAGAAGAAAGTAAGAGATACAGTAAGGACAAAGGACTAGAAGAGACACTAGAGACACTCAAAGAGACAAAAGAAGTATGCATACAGAACTACACAAATGTACTACAAAGAGGCCATAAGATAGAACAACTAGAGATGCTTGGGCATAAACTACAGAATATCTCAGAGAAATTCAGAAAGAAAAGCAGAAAGATGCATGTAGAGGCAGTTGTAATGCAATATGTATTTTATGCTGCAATTTTAATTGTATTATTCCTTATACTGTACTTCTTCATGCGGTAATTTATATTTCTTGGTGGTAGTAGTAGGGTTTCTTGGTAGTAGGATTTCTTGGTAGTAGAAGATATTTTATTTCTTAGTAGTAGTAGTAGATATTTTATTTCTTGGTTGCTGTAGTAGGATTTCTTGGTAGTAGTATTAGAATATTTTATTTCTTGATAGTAGTAGAAAGAAGAATATTTCTTTTTTGTCTAGTAGTAGTAGTAGAATATTTCTTTGTCTAGTAGTAGTAGTAGACTAAAATACAACTGTTTTTGTATGAAAAGCACAGATGGGTTATATCTTGGTATATCTTAGTATATTCTCGGGTTATATTCTGACTTAGTAGTACTTGTTAGTCTCCTGTGCTTCATTAATAGATGTATTTGTGACTAAATTATGATGCATTCTGTCCTCCCAAAATATCACAGTAAATCTACTGCTTGAATATAATCTAGTGCAGGCAGGAAAACTCAAAAGGTTTCTGCTAATCACGAAAATATTTCTACTAGAAAAATAAAAGCTGTTCACTTATATTCGGGTGTATTTATGTAATATTTTGTCAATATTTGGTTGTATTTATGTAGATTTATGTAATATTCAGTTATATTCAGTTGTATTTTGTCAATATTTAGTTGTATTTAAGTGTATTTTGTCAATATTTAAGTAGATTCACTCAATACTCACTCAATAATCACATTAAAACTCACCCAATACCAATACTCACTCAATACTCACTTAATACTCACTTAATACCAATATTCACATAATCAACCCAAGTATGAACATATTATAACTTCTTTATTATAACTATATTATAACTTCTTTACTCTTTATTTTACTTTAACAAATTTACTTGCGCCCTATTCTATTTCCATCTCCATAGCATAGATCGTCTTTCTCTTTTTTCTGTCTCTCTTGCTCTTCTTGGGCCTTTTTTATGGCTGGCTCTAAGTCTGCTAGGATGTCTGCATCTTCTGGCTCATTTGAGGCTACCTCTGATGGAGCTAGTGATAGTCCTTGGTCTTCCATTATTTTCATCATTCTTTCCCCGTATTGCTCTATTGTCATTGTGTATGAATTTTCTTGTCTGAGCATATTCTGAATATCTTCCTGGCTGGTTTGCCCTGTTATCCTAATAGGATGGGATGACGTAGGTACTTTGTGCACAGATAAGGGCATACTTGTCTTACTGGGTGACTTCCCTTCCTGTGTGTCTTGTGGTAATTCCAAAATACTCTTTTCTATTTTAATCATCTCTAGTCTTGTAAGAAGAGATATGCTTATATATACTAGTGCTATTCCTATAGAGGGTGCTTCTGCTAGCTTATTCTTTATTCTCTCTTTCTCCTGGGATAGGTATATCTTTTCTTCTCTTTTTATAATATACCCAGACTCTACTGTCTTCTCAATAAGCATGGATAATTTATCCCCTATGGAAATCTCTTTATTCCTGGCTAGTTCCTGCATTGCCTTAAGATATTCTGTACATTCCTCTATTACTCTTGCGATTTCTGTCTTTTTATCTGCGTACCGAATGGTTTCCAGATTTAACTCTCTCTTCTTTATTTTTAAGTAGTCTAAGAAGAGTATTTCCAAGATACTTTGTGCTTCTATCTTTTCCGTTTCAAGTGCATTAGTTATCTCCCTGACTGAAACTTCTTCTTTTATGACCAGCTGCACCCAGTCTTGAATATTTTCCATTTTCTGCAAATTTTCTTTTCTATTTATAACCCGTAATTAGACACAGCATAAAAGCCTCTTCCATTTAGAAATAATTAGCAGGAGAGAATTATCCCAGTGACCAATTATAACACACCATGGAAATTCACTAGAAATTGTTTAATTAAAGGAACAGTCCCATAGGAAGGACTATTCCCCAGGGTGCAATAGATTAAATCTCTTAATTTATGACGTATTTTCGGGCACTCCATTAAATCTTACTAAAAATACACTAGTATCAAGGGATATATACTATAGTAAGGGAGTGTAAAGAGTGAGTATATTATAAAAAGTATAAAAATAACAGAATATAACTGTATTTAGTGTAAAAGTAGTCCATAAATAGTATAAAAATAATCATAAATAACTGAATATAGTATAAAAACAACCATATATACCACTAAAACAACAGAATATAACCACTAAAACAACAGAATATATTATAAATATAACTGAAAATAACTGTATTTAGTGTAAAGTAGTCCATATATACCACTAAAACAACAGAATATAACCACAGATACCACTAAAACAACTGAAAATATCACTAAAACAACTGAATATACCACTAAAAAACAGAATATACCCACAAACAGTCCGCAAATACCCCACAAACACCCCATAAATACCCGAATTCCCTTTACCTAAAATATTTCGCATTTATTTACTCCTCATTTTGCACTATATGCGTGAATATGTGTGAGGCAATTGGCTCCACAAATGAAATAACCTGCGTCTTCTGGTTATTATTAAACGTACCCACCCATAATAAAGTATCCATCCTGGCAGAAAATAATCCATTTGCTTCTTCTGGATCTTCTCCTTCTGACTTTACTTTTTGATATAAACTTATAGAGTACCCATCTTGTTCATCAACAATATCCTTAATATAAAGATACTTTGAACCCTTAATTACCACAGATTCCTTTGGTTTAGTATCCTGCCATAATTGTCTTATTACAGTCTCCTCCAGGAATATTTCATTTGTGTCTTGTGCTATCACAGAATATTCATATACTAAGGCACCCTCCTTTATTGTCCCAGGCAGCTGCATGTACGTGCTGAAGTAATCAGACCAATCCATAAATAAAAAAAACAATGAGTATTTATTCTGCTGCCTTCCGCCTTAGAACAGATCTCTTTGTTGTAAGGGCCTTATAACCCTGTTGTATCGCATTAACTGATTGTGTTGCATTGCAGGCCGTGCAATTCTTAAAAAGAAGTTTATCTTCTTTCTGCAAAAGTGTCTCTAATGAACCACATACTCCACATGAAACATATTGCTTGATGTAGTTCCGGATTACCTTCTGTAATTGTGCTTCTGGGAATATTCCCTTAATAACAAGTCTTTCTTCCCCGTCTATTGAGCAATTAACTGACAGTTCTACTTCAATGAATTGTCTAAGGTGAGATACATCCCTGCATATAACCCTGCATATTTCTGTTATATTAATGGATGTCTTAGTGGCTCCGTCTCTTCTTATGGATATAGGTATTTTTGTCTTACTTTCTATCTCTATGTCTGATGGTTTCAAGTATTTCTCAATACGAGCCAGAAGCATCTCGTAGGAAAGTGTGTCTGCTTGTGCTTGTCCTGTGGTTTCTGGCTTCTCTAAGTGGTGAATTCCTGCTGCTAGTGTATTAAACCCATCGTAATCGAAACCTACTGGGACAAAATCAGAGTCATCATCTGATGTGTCTGTGGTGGCTGGTTGAATCTTCATCTTTGAAAGTTCTTTCTCTAATTCTGGTGCTGTCAGCTTGTCGTTTGAATTTGCGCCCATTAAAAGTTAAGAATTTTATACAAAGTATATATGGCAGAGTTCAAAGAGAATTACCAAAAAGCACAGAGACATAAATAATAGGATTCTAGTGGCATAGTTATTAAGTCTATTACGGAATTGGTTATGCTCTGCAGAGACAAGACGGGTTAGTGTCCTGCATAAATATTGTGTTAGAATTGTGGATATCATCAAGACAGACTGATATTTCTCGTGTGTCTTAAAGTAAGAGACTGTAATAAAGATGGAAAGTACAAGGACAAGTAGTTCTATTGAGTAGGTTATAATGGGATGGTGCTGCAAGGTCTTCTTTCTGTCTATAATTTCAACGTGACATAAGATCAATAGACATGTGAGATGTGAGGTGTAAATGGAGATCATCAGGCCATTTGGGATTTCAATCCCAATGAATGACTCGAATACAAAGATAACCGTATGGAAGAAGCACACAATTCCTTCAATTATTGGGCAAATTAAGTCAAATAATTCAGAAGCAGAATGATCCTTGTATGACTTTGTTTTTATCCCATGGTAAATATACCTTTCATACAGTATGTGACCAAATTCATAGTTCTCTGGGATTAAAATCCCAATGAATAAAGAAATATCAAATAATATTTCAAACCACCTGCTCACAAAGAGCTTCATTGTTAATTCCATTGGTTTCTCAAGTGGACTCTTTCCTTGGAATTCTTGCTTTATTTGGGAGTATTTCTCTTTGTCTGAGATTTCTGCCATGTGAAAGGGTTTTGACTCTTCTGTTTCCTTGAATGAGTCTGAGTGCTTATTCGGGCTAACCTTAGGCTCTTGTGTATTCGGGTTACTTTGTGGTGTAATTTCATTGGGTTTACTATTGTGCATTGTGGTTTTATCGTTTTCTGTTGTTTTAGTAGATGATTCTGGGCTGACTTCCTTTGATTCCTGCATATCGTCTGAAATGATCTACAGTGTGTCACTTTGTAAACGTAACACAGTAAACCAATAAGTATTTCCTTCAGGAAAATACTATCTCATGTTACACCAATCAAATGAATGACTATTTAATAGAAACACCACAAGAAGTACACTGTATGATTGAAGTATCTTATAACGGACAAATCAATTTGTTTTTTGTAATTCTGGTTATATTGGGGATATAGGGATATAGGGATATATTACTACTAGGAAACTCGGGTTATATTGGGTATATACAGGTATATATTGGGTATATATGGGTATCTTTATAATAAGAGTATTTTCCTGTTGTATTTATCACTATTTTTTAATGAAAATATATCTATTGAATTATTCTTGCTTAACTATTAACTAAATTCTTGTCTCTTGGGGAATTTGCAGAAAATTCTTTGCATAGTACAGAGGTAAATTCTATTTATCAGTATTATCTTGTCATATTTCCATCTTAGGCAGAATATTTATCACTATTATCATGTCTTATCCTATTAGTCTTAGGATATTCTTGGCTTATATTAACGTATTTTTATTGACTGTTTATTTTCCCGTACTATTTAGTGCCTTTGTGCTTCTGAGTGAATTCGTGTTAAATTCTTTACAAAAAACTAAAAGACTGACGGTACAAAAGAGAAGTAATATTCAGAGAAGAATTAGTATAAATTAACTGGGTAGTAGATAGAGGTAGTTATCAAGTATATTTTATTCTTATCACTTGGTGAATATACTTTGTCTTTTTATTCATGTTCAATATATTTCTTACTAGTGACATGTGAAAATACGAAGAATCTTGTCTTCACTCGGATTATTATACTGAATATAACCCAGATATATATTGTGTGGGCTACCAATTATTCTCAGACTAATTCCATTGTATACTTATATTCTGTTTACTCCTGTCAATTTGCACTTAAATTTACACGGATTCTTTGGAGTGAATAATTATCTCTATCTGAGTGCAGAATAAAAAGTCTGCAATATGTTTTTGTAGAAATATAATTTGTGGATAGTTTAAAATTGAAAGAAAATTAAGAATATTCGGGATACTCTAAATATATCGGGTTATATTATGCTTGTACATGTCTCTAGGAGTTGTTATATTTACCCAAATCCCGAAAGTATTCAACGGTAGATTACCCACTAATAACCACATTCAACCATATTTAACCGAATATTACCAACTAATAACCGTATTTAACTGTATATAGACAACTAATAACCATATTTAACCGTATATTAACAACTAATAACCATATTCAACTATATTTAACGGTATATCTACCCACTAAAAACCATATTTAACGGTATATTAACAACTAATAACCACATAATACCAACAATCTATCCACAACCTATAAATAACCTATTAATACCCCGAATAACAGTAAATCGTTTATTTTAAATCATGTTTGCAATATCCCAGGACGTACTCAGCACAAATGGCTTGGATATGGTGATGCCATCCTTTGTGACTTTTGAGACCTGTATTGTATCTGATGCCCTGCAGTCCCTGTAGCACAAAGTGGCCATGGCTTCAGTCAGAATCTTATAAGCTTCTTCCTCTGGGAGATCTAAATTAGTCCCAATCCTAGCCCGGAGCACAGGAATTGCCAAGTGAGCCCCTAACCCAGTCCCAACAACATTGTCAAAATAAAAGTTCCCTAAGTGATCAACAACCCCCAAGAATTTCCCACTCTGATCATCCTCATAAGGAAGGGTACCCTTAGCAGGAACTTCCTCAATCCCAGCAATCACATGAGTATTCATCTCAGGCCTACCCTTACACCTTTTTTCATACATGTAATTCCTTACCATCTTAAAGCACTCCCGTGGCCCTAAAAATACCTCTTTATCACCAGGTGGATTTATTTGAATCCGAAGATTTTTTATCAACTCCTGGAAATTACTGTACTCCCCAGATGTAGCCAAGAATATATTCTTTGAGACAGCCCCAACTCTTTCAATATTTTTATACTTAGCATAAGAACCATAAGATAATTGCGTATCAGATGCAACCATTACACCATCTTTATACTTCACAGCAAGTATACTTGTGCCTGTCACATATCCTTGTGAGTGCACTTGTTTCGGTGCCTCTGCAAATGCATATGGCCTTAGTTCTTGTTCATGACTGTGCATTATTTTCAAAATAAAAGTTTATTAGTATTAATTAGTCTACTCCATGGAAATATCCAGTCCTGCATACTGTCTATCCTTAGGGTGGTGTATATATATGCCACTGTGACTTAAAATAAGATTCTTCTTGGTTAAGTATTTAGTCACCTGAATATCCACATATATCTGTATACATGTCCTCATAATATTACCAATTACAACAGGAGCAAGTACTCGGAATATAAGTCTGTCTTGTCTCTTAGTCATAAACATATTCAGGTCTCGAATTATTTCAGTCCAATCTGCTTCTGGTATGCGGGCATACAATGAAGATGGGATACTTTCTTCAAATATGCTTTGTGACTCTTTCATGAGGGTTGGTATGGTCACTATGCTCATATATATTTCTGTGTTTTTATTTGCATATGCTAAGAGAAGGTTCCCATGGAGAAGAAAGTGCAGGAAATAATCAGGCAGTGAGTTTAGGGACGACAATTATTGGAGTGAAATATAAGGATGGGGTTATTTTAGGGGCTGACACCAGGACATCAATGGGGACATATGTATCAAACAGGGTCAGCAGGAAGATCACGAAACTCATGGATAATGTATACACTTGCAGGTGTGGATCAGCTGCAGATACACAAGCAATCTCAGAATATGCGAAAAAGATAATGAATATGGGAGTATTCTGCCATAGTCAAAGGCCTCTTGTTAAGGACGTGGCTGTCTCCATGAAGAAGATAGTATGGGATGCGACTGACCAAGGGGTTATGGCTGGGTTTATAGTGGCAGGTGTAGATGAAACAGGTGGTCACATATTCTCAATTCCACTGGGTGGGGCACTAATAGAGCAGAATTGGTCAGTGGCTGGGTCTGGGTCATCGTACATCACGGGCCTTGGGGACAGTGCCTTCAAGGAGGGAATGACAAAGGAAGAGGCAGTTGAATTTGTCAGGAAGATGGTTTCCCATGCGATATACCGGGATAATTCATCTGGTGGATGCGTCCGGATGATGATCATAACAGAAGGAGGCACAGAAGAAATAACTGTCCTTGGGAATGAAGTGGCAGTCTAAGCGTACAGAAAGAATAAATCAGATGCACACGGGAATGTTTAGTATATTGTGTATATTGTGTGGTTGTGTATATGGGGAATATTTTGTCTATTGTGTTTAGTCATAGTCATATACGGGAGTATTTTGTATATGGGAATATTATGTTTAGTCTATTGTATATACTGGAGTAATTTGTTTAGTCTATTGTGTATACGGGAATATTTTGTATTTAGTCATAGTCATATACTGGAGTGATTTATACATGAGAATATAGTGTTTAGTCATAGTCATATACAGGAATATTGGGTTGTCGATTTGTAAAATAAAAAAGATTATGTTAGTCATAGTCATATACGGGGATATGGGGTTGTCGATTTATAAAAAAATGAAGAGAACTTAGTCTAGGTTATATACGGGAATATGGGCTAGTAAAATTAAAAAAAATGAAGGGAAGTTAGTCTAGGTTATATACGGGAAAATGGGGTTGTCGATTTATAAAAAAAGATTATGTTAGTCTAGGTTATATACGGGAATATAGGCTAGCAAAATTAAAGAATTATGTTAGTCAGCGATGCACCAGTTATAGCAGGATTTGTTTATTTAATACCCATACATAACAAGAATTCGGGTTATAACGAGAAATAATCACAGTATAAACCCACAATATAAAGTCACACTATAATGGTATAAACCCACAATATAACAATACAACTAACAGTCTTTATTTAAATTAAAAAAGAATTCTTCTGGAAAAATAAAACTATAAATAAAAATATTTTTTATGTTGAGTGTAACTTGTGGATGAAGATAAAAGCCGCCCCAGTCTGAGTATTGATGAGTGGTAAGGTTCTGACACACTTTAAATTTAACCTCCTTTCAACACAAAGAACCAGAACTATTTCTTCTTCTCTTTTGCCTTTGGCGCAGGCCCTTCTACTTTAAGCTCCTTCAGCAGTTCCTTCAGATATCTTACTAGCTCTATTTTCTGCTCTAATTTAGCCATTTTACTACCAAGTGATCTGCATCTAGTGACAAGCACACATGTATGCCCTTGTATCTTGCAGACTGTCTCTGTCTCTGACTGAATTGTGAATGTCTCGTAGAATATGTCATTCTTTGCCCTAAGATACTGCAGGATGTGCTTCTTCATGACCTTGAACTTCTCTTTGGATATAAGTGGGGTCAGACTGAATGTTATATGGATGAGTTTATGCGGGGCACGTGTCATATTTATGATGCTCTTATTCCACAGGGCCTTGTTCAGGAAAGAGATCTTTCCTCCGTCAATTGCAAGTACTTCCGTCTTATAGAGACTTGTCCTATAAATAACGTAGTCCTTTCCATCAATTATCACGTCATCTCCTATGTCGTATGGGTGCGTGATGACAAAGGACGTATTCAGCCAGAAGTCCTTTGCAACTCCACTAATGAAGAAGTTCAGGATAAGGGCACTGCTCAGTGAGAATGCAAGGAGCTGCTTAACAGGGAAACCAAGCACAATTAAATATAGCACAATAAGTGGGATTATTGTGACAATTAAGGCTAAGTTATCAAGTACTACAATGAAGTTATTTAAACTGTGGAAACTTGTCTGAAGGTTCTTTCTGTTGTAGTGGAACATACCGAGTGTATCACGTATCTCCTTCCTTGAGATATTTTTATCATCTGAGATGTCAAAGTACAGGAATGCTTGGATGGCTGCCTGAGAGCTTGGGAATATTTCGCAGAAGTCATTGAATGTGATGTACTTCTGGTTCTTTGAGCACTTTGTGAATACGTCCCTGGCGAGTGACAGGATCTCATGCTGTGTCATTTGATTTTTCTCAAAGATAGATTTAGTGAATACGTCTCCTATGACACTGTCCACATCTCCCTTTATGAAGTCCATGCCTTCATTATTATTTTGGCTGGCATCATCTTCGTCTCCATTCAAGCAGCTCACCAAGAAGCAAGAAGAAAGTCTTTGCTCAATTTCTTCACTTTGTTCTTCATAGCAGTACTCCCGCATGGTATTAATGATTCTGTTCTTAATTTCCACGTCCTTTGCCTTGTCCTTCAGACTCCCAGAGAGAAATCTTTCCCGGAACAGTTCTATCAGAATTCCCTTCCCAATTAGAGCAAGAATCGACAGGAAGCCACACACGAATATTCTATCAAGTATAGTGCGTGCCCATGGGATATATCCAGATATCTGTATGCCCACTGGAATCATCTCAAAGAACCAGCAGCCAAATACTATCTTTAGCTTAAGCTTCTTATTATGCAGGATATTATTGTCTGTTATGTTGTCTCTGCATAAGATATATGCTCCGTGTATGACTAACTTCGTGAGTATCAGCAGGAATGCAAGGATAATTATAAGGATAATTATGTGCTTCAGTAGAAACCCGTGCACTTCCCGCATCCTAAGGGGAATGAAATTGAGCAAGACCAAGGAAAGAATGCCCAGTCCAATTAGCACAGCTGTGGCTGGGATAATTCTCTTGCTTATGGTTTTAGTTATGCTTTTATGCTTAGGCAGGTCATCTACGTCTTCAAACCCGAAGTCTGCTGTGTCTTCGAACCAATTGAAATTATCTTCGTTTCTTTCATCTGCTGCTGAATCTACTTCCTCAGAGGGTGTCATTTCTTTGCTGCTCATTTCATTTGAGTTAGACCCAGAGTGAGTGCTTTTCTCTTCAGGTGAATTATGCATCCAGGTTCATTTCCTACTGGTTTTATTGTTTACCCGAAACCAAACTGTTTCATTTGGTTTTGTGCACCAGAAGTCTACTACATTCACAAGACAAAAGGTGTTTATGTTGACATGAAGGGGAGTATAAAAGGATAATTAGAGTGTATATATATATATGGGTGTATATATGTATATGGGTGTATTAGGATATATTTATATGGGATAAACATGGTTATATATGGGATATATCGGGTTATATCCGGATATATTGCAAGATATTTCATGATAGATTTGTATACTTTACAACGTATCAGATTAATACACAGACTAATACGCAGATGCATGCACAGAATAGTCGAATTATCCAATTGTATTATAGTGTATTATAGTGTATTCTGTTGTATTATGGTGTATTCTGTTGTACTATGGTGTATTTTTAAGTTAAAGTTTCTTTGTTGAGTGTTAGTGCACTAATAATAATTAGTTATATCCAATTATATCCAATTATATCTCATTGTACTATAGTATATTCAATTATATCCCACTATATTCTGTTGTACTAGAGTATATCCTGTCAAATTTAATTATATCCCGTTGTACTAGAATATATTAGTGTATATCCCAATACATACCAATTATATTCCACTCTACTAGTATATGTATATTCAGAAATTAACAGAAATATTTTCACCTCTACTAAACAAAAATATCATCACTAAACAGATATAACAGAACACATTTATTTATCAAGGGGTGCAATAATAATACTTACCTGGATATTATGAGGTTTATTCATCGTATATGACATTATTACTACAGGATGAAATAACCAAATGAGAGCGCCCATTGCACTCCACTAGGGACCCTTTCATGATACCTTCAATTGTCTTTCCGTTGCTACTTTGCAAATATTCGAGTGACTCCTTGGTGATGCTTGCTGTCGTGTGCTTTGGTCTCTCAATATTCAAAGTGGCACCAATTGGAGGGTGCAGTGTGGGTATCCCCAGGGTAGTCTCCAGGATATTCTTCATTCGCTTCATTCTCATGATATCCCCATGCACAAGAATAATATTCTCAGGCTCACATTGCTGCACGAGTGACAGAATTCCCTTCTGATCTGCATGTGCACTAAATGGCATATTCTTCACTTTCATGCGCACTGGATAAACTATCCCACCCACTTCAATCTGACTAGCCCCATTCAAGACCCTTTCCCCAATTGTACCACGGACACAGTAACCCGGGAATATCACCATATTCTTTGGGTCACCGCACCACTTCTTGAAAATTGACAGACTGGGCCCAGAGTGCAGCATACCCGGGGAGGAAAAAAGGATCATAGGTCCCTCCAGACTGGCCAGATTTGAGTCAAATTGTTTTACGTGCTGGAAATCAAACAGATTTCTCTTGTGCATCGTATTTCTTATGTGCTCATGCGTGTAATCTATGAACTGTTTGTATATGTCATTTGCTTTGTGCGTCAGAGTGGCAGAAGTGTAGATGGGAATGGATAACTTTGACTTTTCCCAGTGCGTATCCAGGAGAAGGCACAGTTCATGTGCACGCCCCAAGGCAAATACAGGAATAAGCACCTTCCCACCATTCTTAACACACTGCACAACGGACTCAATAAATTCCCTCTCTTTCTCTCTCCTGCAGTCTCTGACAAGCAGGGCGTAGGTGCTCTCTGTGATCAAAACATTCGGGTAGACTTTTGGCATCCATGCTCCATCCAGGTGCCTGTCTGGTGTCATATTGTAGTCTCCTGTGTATACGACAGACTCATCCCCTACTCTCACATGAAACATTGCAGCCCCTAAGACATGTCCTGCATAGTACGGCGTAATTGTGAAGTCTTTTTCAATTTCTACTGTTTCATCCATTGCAATTGGAATGACCTTCTTCATACATGCCTTAATATTCTCTTCGTTATATGTGGGGTACTGGAACTTGCTGGAATCATCTCTTTCATTGTAGACCTTGCAGTAATCCTGCAGGATAATTGGGAGGACTGCTTTTGTTGGGGGTGTCATGTATATGGGCCCTGCATATTTGCATCTCTCGGTGAAGTATGGGAGACCACCACAGTGGTCCATATGAAAATGCGTTATAATTACGCAGTCAATTACGCCTGTGTATGGGCCTGCCCCAAGGAGTTTAAAATCCGGGAATCTGCGGTGATCTGAGTGACCCATGTGCATTCCGCAGTCAAACATTATTGTCTTATTCTGTATGGACACTACAACGCAAGATCTTCCTATATCCTGGCCTGCCCCAAGTATTGTAACTTTCATGTGGAGTGCATAAAAAAATTCAGATATTCATGCAATTCCCATTAGAGAGTGAAAAAGGACTCTCATTCAATTTTAAAATGCACTGTATCTAGAGTACACAGTACAGGATTGTATAATTTAATGGCAAAGGTAGAGATATATTATTGGTGTATTGTGTATTTTGGGGTATTTTGGTTATAGTTATATTTTGTATTTTGGTTGTAGTTATATATTAGGATATATTGTATTTTTGTTGTATATTAGGATGTATTAGGTGTAGTTATGTTGTAGTTGTATTGTCTTGAGGTGTATTTTGTATTTTTGTATATTTTAGTTGTGCTGTACTATGGTGTATTTTAGTTGTAGTTATATATTGGGATATTTTGGTTGTCTTGTACTAGATTTTTCTATATTTTAGTTGTACTGTACTATGATATATATTGGGATATTTTAGTTGTACTGTACCATGGTATATTTTAGTTATATCCGGTATATATTGAGATATTTTGCTGTCTTAAGGTGTATATTTTAGCTGTGTTGTACTGCCTATTCACCTCCCCTACTAATTTGTACCTCTCTATTATATTTCTTCAATTTCTAAAATTCACTTTGTAAGAGAAAAGAAGAAGTTCTCTAGTATAGAAATAATATAAATATGCTTAATAAGCTAATAAGCAGTAATATGGGAATATCTGGTTTATAATTAAGTACTTTATTTTTGCCATTCCAGCACTGTGTTAATATACTAATGAAACGGCATACTGGCACTCACTAAATAATACTGTTGGTCATGTGGTGCTGCAGTTCATTAAAGAAATCTAGTCTTTCTAGGTCTGTGGTGTATGTGAGGTTACCATTTGTTAAGTGGCACTTGTGCTGGTTTAGTGTGCTGAATAAAGGCGTCTGCTCAAATACTCCATTCTGACTGGATGAATATGTCTGCCTGGCTGCCTCTGGCTTCTCTTCTGGCATGCAGAGTGGGGCACTGAATGAACTCAAAAATGAATCGTATTCTGAGTACGTTGTATTCTGCTGGTGATCAAAGGAGAAAGAGTCATTTATCTGGGATATATCATATGTCATTGTGAGATCAGAGATATCAGACATATCAAAGGGTGTTGGTGCATTGCTTAGTCTAAAGTGACTCTCTTCGTATTTTTGTGCTGTCACTTTCTTCTCTGGTTCTGCAGGAAGTGGAATATTTTCATGTGGTGGAAATACTTCTTGCTCTGATGTGAATGGAGTACTATCACTCTCTGTCTCACTCTGGTCTCTTTTTGTCTTTTCTTTTGCCCGTTTATTCTGGAACCAAATTTGGATACTTTTTATGGTTATTCCTAAAAGGGCAGAGAGCTTTGTCTTTGCCTTCTGTGAAGGATGCGAGTCATCTTCAAAGGCCTTCTCCAGGGACTTAATCTGCCATAAGTCAAGTTTAATTCTGGGCTTCTTTGGGGCCGCCTTCCTTTCAAAGCTTTTCATGATTTCCTCAGTGAAATCAATGAACTTAACTGGTCTATTACTTGTCATTACTTTTTGTGTCATTCTTCTTCTGTTTATTCCCAAACGTACTCCTATATATACTTAAGATATTTAATTAGGGAATGCAGGTATACCTAATTAAGAACTGTAATATCTCAATTTGGACATTTCCTAATTCATAATAAAATTTACCATATTTGACTATAATTCGATAGGTTTTAGTGCTATTTTTCATGTAAGTTGGATTTTCAATAAATTATTTAAGGAAAAACTTTGGGCGGCAAAGTTAAAAATGGAAAAAGAGAAAATCAATTAGCCATTTTTCAAGTACCCGCCATTTCCAAATTGTAAAATTGCAAATGCAATTAGACTAATTGATCAAATTGCAAAAAGACCGCGCACACTGTCCGAAGTGTTTTATGCATCTTAGAGTAAGAAGGGTTTGTATTGAGAGGAAGAGGGGTTTATATTGAGAGATGAGAGGGAGAGGCAGAAGTAGAGAAATGATTTATTGGTTGAGGCGAGAGAAAGACTAATAAGTATTTTGTAAGTTGAGACATGAGAGACTAATAATTTATTGGTTTAGAAGGGAGAGAGAAAGACTAATAAGTGTTTTGTAGGTTAAGACTAGACTAGACATAAATATTTTATTAATTAAGACTAGAAGAGAATATTTTGTAGACTAGAACAGACTACTACTAAATATTTTATTATTAAGACTAGAAGAGAATAGAGAGAAATATTTTATTATTAAGACTAGAATAGAGACTACTACTAAATACTTTGTAGACTAGGCTAGAAGAGAATACTTTGTAGGTTAAGACTAGACTAAAGATGAAATATTTTATTAATTAAGACTAGAATAGAATAGAACAGAATACTACTAAATACTTTCTGAATTAAGTTAAGAATATGCACAGTAATATAACCCGAATAAGAATATTCTTTCTCTCCTAGTATATATATACTTACTAAAATTAGTCTAAATATACAACAGAAATTACTCGTATACAAATACACTCTAAATATAACCAAAATAAGATATTAACCACTTAGTGCCTTTAGTAAGAGAATAGATACTCTCTCATTGCATAACCATAATCCACTTGAAATCCACTTAAAATTCATCTAGATAACTCTACTGCATTTTAGTCTAAGGGAAATAATTTAATTTTTATTTCAGACAGATGAATGGAGCTGCTTTTGGAGGAAATAGGCTTATGCGATCAAATACTGCAGAAAGTGCAGGAATTGCATGCGTATTAAAGAATATAGAAGGGATAGTCAGTCTGTGTGATATTGTTAAGACATCTTACGGTGTGAATGGAATGTACAAGTTAGTTGTTAATTCACAGAAGAGACTAATAATAAGTAGATCTGTGGCTACAATTCTATCTGGGTGCGACGTAGAACACCCTGCCCTAAGGATGATTGTAGAGCCAGTTGCGCATCTGGCACAAATGGGAGACTGCACTGGTTTCTTAATGTGTATTCTTGGGGAAATATTAAGAAAGTGCGCATTATTCATAGAGAAGGGAATTCTTCCAACAGAACTTGCAAGTGCCCTAAGGGAAAGTGGTGACTCAATGAGTGAAATTATCAAGAAAATATCAGTTGAAGAGAAATTTAGTCTAGACTCTGCAGAAATCATCAGAAAAATATCTAGTGGGATAGTGAAGAACAAGAAGATAGCAGAACTACTAGGGGAATCTATCTCAGAGATCTCAAAGAATGGGTCATTCCCTATTGATAGTATCCGGGTCACAAAGATCAACGTAGGAGCACTTGAAGACTCAGAGAGGTTTAAAGGACTTCTATTGGAAAGTTCACCTGTTGGGCTAGTTACAACAGGAGAGAACCTTAAGACTGCAATATACACGTGTCCCCTGGCAATCAGCAACATGGAAACAAAAGGAACAGTCCTTCTAAAGAATGCACAAGACCTTCTGACGTACGCACAGGATGATGAGAAGACAACAAAGGAATTCGTTGATAAATTAGTCGCAAATGGAGTAGGACTGCTTGTGTGCAGTGGATCAGTTGATGCGCTTATGCTGGACTACTTGAATGAGAAGAAAGTAGCCCTCCTGAAGGTGCACAGTAAATTTGACTTGCGCAGACTGTGCATGCTCTTTGGAGGAAGGATGGCAAATATTCTGAGGCCCATGGAGGAGCAGTACCTTGGTCTCTGCACCTCACTAGGTACCCAGACACTCGGTGAGAAGAAATATACTAAGGTAGAAGGAAAAGGACAAATTGTAACACTTATGCTAAGAGGAACCCTTCCTGCACACTTGGAAGAGAGTGAGAAGTTAGTCACAAAGGCAGTATATGCCCTGCAGGTGTGCGCAAATGAGTCTATGCGCACAGGATCACTCCGTCTCTTACGGGGAGCAGGTGAGTGCGAGAGAGAAATTGCAGCTGCCCTCCAGGAAGAAGCAGAGAAGTACACGGACGTAAGACAAATTGCAGCAAAAATATTCGCAGAGGCAATTGAGGCAGTAGGCCGTAAGAGTACCTCCATGGAAGACGCACCACAAGATGTCTTTGATGTGGCTGCCATAAAGGAAAGAGCCATAGAATACGCAGCTGTCCTGTCTTCTGATATTCTGAGTGTCTCCCAGATGTTTATTACAAAGAACGAGGACACTCTGAGTGCCCCAAAGAGACCAGGGCACTGGGATGATAGAGACTAAGACACCTTCAACAACTTTAAAAACACACTAATTAAACAGTTGAGTTTTCAATAAATAAAAAAGTCCAACAGTGCAGTTCTTTTAATTCGGGTGTGTCTTGTGTCTTGGGATATATCTTGTATCTTATCTTGAGGTATCTTGAAATATTTTTTATCTCGTATCTTATCTTGAAATATCTTGAGATATATTCGGGTGGTTGTAAAATATAATTATTTGTTGTCTCTCTCTCTACTACTACTACTAGTAATTTAAAATAATTTCTGCTGTCTCTACTAGTAGTAATTTTAAGTAATTTTTGTTGTCTCTATACTACTAGTAATTCTACTAGTAGTAATTTAAAATATTTCTGCTGTCAGTGTCTCTACTACTACTAATAATTTTCTCTACCACTACTACTAATAATTTTCTCTACCACTACTAATAATAATTTTCTCTACTACTAGTAATATTTTTAATTTTCTAGTCTACAACAGTACACTATAAATATAATTATAAACATTTTCATGAGATATCCATTAACAAAAATAACTGAATAATCAAATAATTAATTAAATCATATCTTAAACAATATAACCAGGATAAGATAACAATTATTGATATACGTTATACTGATATCTTTTCTGAATAGATTAACTTAAAAATTAATGCATCTGCATAGTACACATATACTCTATCTGGTTTATTCTGGTTATATTATATGGTCTCACTCTGCATCCATGGACAGAATGTATATCATGCTGGCATGCTGCCTCTCAGAGGGCTTGTAGTCCCTGGGGTTTGCCTTTACGCAGCCAATTTCCTTCAGTAATTTTCTGATGGCATCAATTCCCATTTTAAAGAAGCATTGCGGGTACGTCTGTATGTTTAGCACACCATTTGACCTTAAAAGGAGCATGATAATTATGCGCACAACTAGTCTACTGTGCGTCTTTTTATCTAAGATAATTGGTTTGTGTGCTAGAATTGGGCCTATAAAGTGCTTTACTATCTTTTTTATCATTACAGCTTGTATTGGGTCTTCCATCTCGTACAAATAAGTTAGCTTCTTCTTTCTGACACCTTCCAATATCTTGGATATACTGTCGAATACGAGTGCCCAGACAGAAAGGTCTTTTTCTTCTTCATATTTAAACTGACTTTTCTTCAGAACTGACTCAGTCAAAGTACCAACAGATATTTCATTATCCTTCAGAAGGTGGATGGACTCTTCAATTACTGCAAAGGGACTGAACCCAAGTATGCCTTCTAGTGTGTATATATCAATGGGCTTCTTTGCACTTGTATTTTTCTTTGGGAAGACTGGCTCTAGATCAGATTCCATTGGTACTGGTGTCTGTGACATATCTGCCCCATTTGATGCTAGTTTCTCTTGCATGAGACTATTTCCTGTGTCTTCTGTCTCTTTTGTCACTTCGTTCATTTGCTTTCTCTTCTTAAATGACCTCGCAAATGCGGCACTCCCAAATTCCAGTGAGAGTTCAGTTATGGTCTTAGCACGCACATTAGAGCCACTCTCTTTTTCATCTTTTCGGAAGAATGTCTTTGCCTTGAAGTATTTCACTTCAGTTATATGCATGGTTTTCCCATTTATTTCAACAGTTTCTGGTGCTGTCTCTGCAGTACTTGCTAAGACGTAGTTGCATGGTATGTCAGTCTCTTCTGATGCAATGACTGTTATTTCCCTTTTGCTGCAGTCTGACTTAAGAATACTCGTGTTTTCTTCTGTCTCCAGCCTAAACGTATAATTCTTCTTGAACGGGGCTACGACTGCAATAAAATCTTTCATTGAAAAGAAAAGACAGAAGACTTAAATATTTTATGACGGCAAAAGAAAAACGTAAATGCAACGACCAGAACCCAGAAGAAATAGCAAACCACTCAGACCCACTCTGTCTCTTTGAAGGCACTAGATATAATGTACTAGATTGGCACAAAATACTCATAGATTCAAACAAGAAAAAGCACTTTATAAAAGCACTAGAAGAGAACATAGAAGAATTCCAGCAGAAACTGCAGAGTATACAGAATAAAGAAGGAATTACAAATTTAAAAGGAATATTTCTGTACCCTCTTCTTGCCAGAACAATAAACAGAATAGAATGCACCAGTTCCACAGAAAAATGCAGAAATATCTTCCTCCTTAAAGAACCCCATAGACAAGAAGAGACAGAAAATAATTCAATCAGTAGAGTATACAGTATGAACAGATGGCCAAGGATACTGGATAGATTTAAAAGAAAAGTAGAAATAAAGAAAGTAAAGACAAAAGAAGAAAGACCAGAAAGTATCTGTACATGCACAAGAAGTACTCTAAGCATAAGAAGAATACTTGACAGATTCTGCAAAGAAATTAAAGGAGACAGCCCCAGACCAAAAGAAAGTGAAAATAAAATGCCCATGAAGAATAAGCCTATTCCCCTCCTACTGTCTGCACTGCATGAAGTGCCTTCCGTAGAGAAAATTCTCTTGGAAGAGGCACCTGCCAGGATTAGGGCCAGAATATTCAGGGAGGGTCTTAGTAAGCAGGCAAGGAAGCTGGATGTATATGGTAAATAGGTTGAGTATTTGGAGTGACCCAGATTTGACCAGAATTTAACACAAATTTAACTCTACTTTGGAGTGAACTAAATTTAACCCGACTTTAACTCTACTTTGGAGTGAACTAAATTTAACCCGACTTTAACTCTACTTTGGAGTGCTCTAAATAACTTAGTAATTTCCATGTCATATTCAGGCTTGCAGTATATTTATATTTATTCGGGGCTATTCAGAGTTATTAGTGGTTATATACGGTGCACTAAAATAATCAGAAATTATTTAAGTTATTTCCCAGAAGAAAATTATTTAAGTTATTCGGGTTACTTCCCAGAAGAAATTCTCTGTGGGAAGAAATTCCCTGTGGAATGAACTTGCACTAAAGAATAAAATGACCCTGCAGCAAGTGGTGCAGTAAAAGAACAAGAACTCAAGTACTAATGTAATAAAGAACTTCTAGATAAATGCAATTTTGTTTTTATTTTTCAAGAATGAAGCAAGAACTCCATGCAGAACGGGAGCTGATATCCTGCGAAGATTATATTACCCGGGGAGATTCACTGGGTGAGAATATTTCAGTAGAACAAGCAGAAGAAATGTTTTTGCTTTTTGGTGATGTCAAAGATTACAATGAATCCGTGCACGAGAAACTTATTCTGTACGTGCAGGCTGTAGAGCAGCACAAAGGCCTAGAGGCATGCTTTTCCATGGCGGCAGGTGCCCTTGCCAGAAAAAGAAAGAGTGAAGTGGATTTGGTCCAAATTAATACGGTGCTTGAGATCACTATTGCTAAGATAAAGAAGCACGAGGGAAAGTGGGTTGAAAAATCACCTGAGCAGGAGGTAAGGACGAAGACAGAAGCAGCACCAGTGCCTGAGAAAGGGGCTAGTGAAGTATTTGACATCCCCAGGCATCCCCTGCAAAGCATAATTAGGTCTGGCTTGTTTACCTTCAAGAAGCTGGCCCGTCTAAGGAATGAAATGCGCCTGAAAAGAGAAAGAGCAGAGAAGGTGGTTGAGCAGGACGAACAGTCCAAGGAAGAAGAACAAGATTTGATCACTTTCTTTGCAGGAATCACAGAAGAGACAGTAGACAGTCTTATAGGAATCATGCAGGAAATGAACACAGCAAAGATCTTCACTGAAGAGTGGGATGGGTCTGAGTACTTGAATATTCAGCTGGACTTCATTGAGCTTCTACTGTGCTTCTTAGAGATGTACGTCAGAAGTGCAATTGTCTTTGGTCACCAGATCATGATGAAGGATGCCCTAGTGGAATTCTCTAATGCGCAGTACAAAGAGTACATTATGTACCTAGGGGGACTGTTCATTGAGGAGCTGGAAGGGGAACTTGTTGGGTGCTTTATTCTTTCAATGCAGATCTCACTTCTCCTAAGGGGCCGTGCACTAGTGGACTGCTACTCGCTGTTCTCCGGGGAGGGAAAGGCAATTCTCCGGGACAAGTACATATTCCATGCACAGAACAGTGTACTCCGGTCTCTTGGTCTGCTTTATTACAAAGAAAGAAATACTACGCTCATTGATATTGTATACTCCTTCTATACAACTGGCTGTTTAGATACATTTACACCACAGCAGAAGAAGCAGATTATCAGCCAGGCCGTTGATATTCTAATTAAGTATCTGGACCAGGAGAAAGTACTGGGTCTAGTCCGAAGAATCCTTTATCTTTATGACAGTGCAGCACAGTACTCTGAAGGAATGGCTCTTTTGATCTCCATATTCCTGTCAAAAATACGTTCAAAGAGTCCGTCCAGCATAAAAGAGATAAACGACTTTTTCATCACAATAATCTCCAGGAGCCCGAATAAGATTGAGCACATTGACTCTTACTGCGCCTTCCTGTCAATGCATGATATTGGGATTCCCTTGCACCACCTGGTCAGGAGGTTTGACCCGCAGTTTATATCAAACTTCTACTCAACGTATTTCAGGCACCCATTTACCCTGGAAAAAGGCACACAAGCAGTAGGTGACTTTATTAACTTTGTCTGCCTCTCTGCTGAGCTCACGTACATATACATCTTGAATATGGTGCCATTCATTCCTACTTCACCGTTTATCTTGCACAAACTATTCCTCATATACAAGAGAATATACGCAAATGCAGAGATGTTCCCCAGGGGCATTAACACGGAACTTCTGCTGCTGCAAATGAAAACACCCGCTCTGGTAGGAGTGGCTGGATATATTTTCAGTGACCCAAAGCCAATGATAAAGAGCAAGCAACTGAAGAAGATGGCAGCAACCGTGAAAATAAGCCACAAGCTGAACGAAGACTACATCCTGTTTCTTATCCTGGTATATTCCGTTGAAAAAGCAAAGATTGAAAATTATAATTATAACGGAATTATAAGCTACCTGGAAGATGAAGTCACACTGAAGTACATGGGAAAGCATCTCCTGCAAATTATTTCGATGGTGCATGCAGATGCATCTGTTGAGTCAATTGACTTCTACAAGACATACGCCTGCGAGCTTCTAAAAAGAGCAGCTGTCCCTACAGCGTACCCGCTTTCATTGAAAATCATTGTGGAGGTGCTTTCCATCCTTGTCCAGAAGGAACCATCTCTGATTCTCTCAGATGAAATTCACATCAGATTCAAAGAGTGCTTTGACACCTTCCGGATAAACGAACTTTCAATGTACAACCTCAAGGAAACCTTCCATAAATACACAAAACTCTACGAGAGTATTCTGGCACGTATTAAAGAAGAAGTCATTGAAGCATACAACTACATCGTACTGAACATAGTAGATTTTGGCCTATTCCATGCACTGCCTGTCATGCGAGATGAAAGAGGCATAAAGGAGCTGCTTAACAGATCGAACCTCATCATGAAAATAATCAAGGCATTCCCATCTACACCCATGCAAGGCGTTGAGATCTGGGAGTGGCTATATTCCGTATGCACAAAGAAGCCACATAAGCCAGGTGCCCCCGGGAATATCTCAGGTGGAGCTGCTGTCGATGCGCACAGTCACAAGATTCCCCTGTCTGAAGAAGAATACGCACACCTGCTGTACGCCATAAACACAGAGTGGATCACAGATCTCATCACAATCAGAGGGGACACACCAGGTATCATCGAGAATACTCGTAACTACCTAAGGTGGATACTCGATGAAGAGTACTCTTTGGAGACCTTGCTGGTTCTCCTGAAAGTATCCACCCGAGAAGAGAAGAAAAAGCTTCTTAAAAGGGCAGTACTCACAGGCTACAACATGAAGGAAGATCTTTCCGTCTACTACTCCCTCTACCAAGCAGCTAAAGGCACTTTCTACGAGTATCCACTCGCACACACCTACAACTTCCTCTCTGCCCTTACGAAGACAAAAAAGTTCCTGAAGGTGAAAACCCTAAAGGAGCAAGAACTGTACGATTTGAGCATTGATGAGCTGATATTCTTAAGCACAGAGCACGGGGATAAAAAGGTCTTGGAGGTTCTCATAAAAAAGCAGATCTTAAACTGCGCTGGCTTCTTCATAGACATAAACAGACTGAGCACAGTAGAAGCACTCTCTGTGATAGCCAACTCAGAAGAGGAGCAGGATATTTTCAAGGCTCTTAGCTACCTTGAGGGCGAGGCTGCAAAGGGAGACTCTCTTATTTTCTATGCCCCGCAGATAGTGCATCTTCTTAGGAAGGAGTACACGACAAATGGCAATGAGATTAAGGAGGCCCTGATTAAGACAGTCCTAGGGAAGGCAGCTGCAAGCAAGACAGCACACGCCCTGATTTGGGAACTTAATGCACAAGGCCTCTCTACCTTAAATATCTACAAGGATGCGATCCTCAGTAACCTCTCACAGGAAGACAGGGACCAGTATGCAAGAATGGACGTGTTCTTGAACAATTTCGCAAAGATCTCTCAAAACCTTCAAAAACACGTTGCAGTAGACCGAGATACAAAGAAGAGAATGATAAACACAGAGATATCTGGGGTAGTAATTCCAGAAGGATGCTACCTCCCGACTACTGGAGAGCCAGTTGTCCGAGTTATTGAAGGATCCGGGCGTGCACTCCAAAGCGCAGAGAAGGTGCCGTACATGGTCACTTTCAAAGTGGAAGACACAAAGAACCCAGAGGGTGGAGAGGCTGACAGGCAGGTCATATTCAAGTTTGGGGATGACTGCAGGCAGGACGTCCTTGCACTGCAAATCATAAAACTCTTCCAGAATATCTTCAAGGAGAAAGGTCTCTCAGTGTATCTGTACCCGTATATGGTCATGGCCACTGGATATGGCTCTGGTATTATTGAAGTAATTCCGCAGTCCATCTCCAGGGACCAACTTGGCAGAGAGAGAGTGAATAATCTTGTGGACTACTTTTCCCTTAAGTATGGGTACAGAGAGGGACACCGGTACATACAGGCACTGAAGAACTTTGTGGAAAGCTTTGCAGGGTACTCCCTTGTAACGTACATTCTGAATATCAAGGACAGGCACAACGGAAATATCATGCTAACAGATGACGGGCACTTAATCCACATTGACTTTGGGTTTATGCTGGATATTTCCCCTGGGAATATTAACATTGAGAGCCCAATTAAAATAACGGATGAAATATTCTCTTTGCTGGGAGGTGCAGAAGGAGAGGCCTTTATTCTGTACAGAGAGCTGATGGTAAAGGGATTCTATTTGCTGCGAAAGCGTGCCCGGGAAATTGTGCTTATGATAGACCTTGGGAGACACAGTGGCATACCCTGCTACACCTCTGCCACAATGAAGAACCTAATATCTCGGTTTAGGCTGGACCTGTCAGATGTTGAAGTTCCTGGATTTGTCTATAAGCTCATTGCATCCTCAACGAAAAAGCTAAGAACATGGATATACGACCAGTACCAGCACATGACAAACAACATAGCATTTTAAGAGCAGCAGAAGAGAAGTGTATATTTTCCAATAAACAGTGTTATTTATTCTATAGTCTTTTGTGGTTATTTCTGAGTAAGCCTCTTTCGACTAATTTGTCATTCTATCTGCATATTCAGTGCCCCTAAGAATATACCCCCAGACGTACACATTTAAACCATGAACGCAGAAATATCCTCTACAAATTATTTATGTCTTCACTTGAAAAAAGTATTCTTAAAGCTTCCTGCAGAGAATTTAAATTAATATTCCTGCAAGAGAACTATTTTCAACAAGAAAATTAAAGGAAAAATATTTAAAATTACTACTACTAGAGAGACTAGAAATAATTAACCAAAAATACGCAAATTCAGTAGAATATAATATAACCAGAAGGCCCTCGTAATGGAGAACATCTATCTTGTTTTTCTGCTCTCTGGTTTTAGTAGAGTTTTTTAGGTGTTCTCTGACAGAATCTTAGTCAATTCGGGTTATACCAGGGTAAAAATAACCAGAAATTAGTCTATAGTAAAAATGTCATCTTATACGCTGTAGACAGTGCATTACTAGTAGACAAGTAGTAATTAATAAGAGATATTTGCCTGGAATTATCCTATTAGTATGTATTTATTGTAAGTCTATTTCTTGTTGTATTTTTCACTATTATTTTGTTTTGTTACTTTTTCTTGTCTATGGTGAGTACTAGCCCATTGTAGTGCTTAAGAGTCAGTACGTGGTAGGGCAGTAAATCCCAGAATAAATTGAGTATTCATGGGTTTAAATGAAGTATGCACTGCAGCTATTAAAGAACACAATGAGTTTAAACAAAGAAAGTCTGCAAGATATACAAATAGTTGAATTTATTTCAGCATAATTTATTCTTCTCAGAGACACTTTCTTCCTCTGAGACATTGCACTTGGCTTCTTCCATTTGACAGCATCCTTTATTTCTTGCTGTCTATTTATAGACTACAGTGGAAATATGAGTTAATTAAAAAACGGAATATACCCGAAAGGGGAAGTATTTTAATAATTAATTAATTTTAATTTAGCATAAGAAGACAGACTCCTCTATAAAATATTTCTGACTTATAGAAGGAGATATTTGGTTCTTGTGACAAAGAAAATAAACAAGTTAAACTTGGTTTAGTATTCATTTAATCTGCTTGATTGCCTTGTTCTCAATGCAATTTATATTCATGGTGTTTTTGTTGTCTGCATATTTCCACAGAAATCCATTCAAAATTATCCAAAACAAAAACAACAAAGATTAAAATTGTTAGTTTGTTTGTAATTCACAAGCACAAACAGATTACAATCTGTTTATTTAAGCATAACAAAAACACATAGTCTAATTGTAATAGCAAAAGTAAAGGCATAATCCCACCCCGTATAAATATATTTTTTACAAAGAAATTAAATTTACCCCTGCACTTAATAGAATGTATTATTAGAATGTATTATTTCAACTGTGATTAATGAAAAATAATTTAATTTATTTTCAAAACAAATAAAAAATAATATCATTTTTTTCTACTATATAAAGACAAGAATATTTTGAAAAAAAGTATAAAATGGCAGGCGTAAGAGCAACCACAATAGTATTTATTGGATTATTAGTTGTAGGTGGTTTAGTAGTAGGATACTTAGCACTGAACCCAGAAATATTTAATTCATATAGCAATAACCACTATGAAAAACAATATCGTAGTAGGCAGGCGAACATAAAATATTCAGAAAAACAAGAACCCAATCCAGAAGTTAGATACAAATTTCAGATAGATAGTCAAGGAGGTCAAGATGGTAAACCTGGTCGAAGTGGCGGTGGCAGCTACTTCGATAGTGACGCGAGTACAAATGTGAATCGTATTTATGATCGTGATGGCAATGTAATAGGGGTTAGCACTTTTAGCACTTCTGGTAAAGATGGCAATAATTGGGGTTATAGTTACAGTTATAATGGTCGACCTGGTCAGCCTGGTCGAGGAGGTAACGGAGGCAGCGGAGGCAGCGGAGGCAGCGGTGGTCAACCTGGTCAGCCTGGTCAGCCTGGTCAAGGTGGTAACGGAGGCAGCGGTGGTGCATCTGGTCATGGTGGTCATGGTGGTAACGGAGGCAGTGGTGGTCAACCTGGTCAACCTGGTCGAGGAGGCGAAGGTGGTAACGGAGGCAGCGGTGGTCAAGATGGTGAACCAGGTCGACCTGGTCATGGTGGTAACGGAGGCAGCGGTGGTCATGGTGGTCATGGTAGTAACGGAGGCAGCGGTGGTGCATCTGGTAAAAGTGGCAATAGTTGGGGTTATAGTTGGAGTTATAATGGTCAACCCTCGTCGTGGTGGTCATGGTGGTAACGGAGGCAAAGGTAGTGCATCTGGTCAACCTGGTCGAAGTGGTTAAGATGGTTACTAACACATCTGACAAAGGCATCTGGCTTAATGGTAGATGCAGTAATGCCTACTGGTTAAAAATTCAAGTATATCCTGAATTGAATAATGGCAATTTAAAGACATGAGTTTAAAATGTTCTTTATACCATAGGAACTATAGATTCTTGGTTTTCTTAGATTGGAATATAATAAATTGAATGCTTTTTAACTTAGAGTATATTGGGTTCTGTTGTATCTCTGTATCTAAAGCACTAAAATATTCATATTTCACTGCAGTGAATTATTTTGTGTACAGTAGAGAGAGTACTAGCTAGTATGATTTAGTTAGCAGAATATTTCTTGGTTTAATTTCAGTCAAAGGCATAGAAATAATTATAAAGTAGAGATCCTTATATCTATGTGGTTGAATATACTGGCACCTGGAATATGGATATTCTCATGCAGACACAAATTATTTCTGTTTAATTTCCTGCTGCACAGTGGAATTTTCAAGAAAATAAATGAATGAACTTAAAAATAAATAAATGTACTACTACAGATATAAGTGTACTAAGCAGTCTAATATACTAGATTGTTGCATATATTTAAAATATTTTATTTAGGCGTAGAATGTCTGACAGGTCAGTAGGAGGCTTGAGGAGTGAAAGTAAACTAAAAATATATAATACAATCACAAAGAAAAAGGACGAGTTAAAGATGGAGGGATACTTCTTTAAGTGGTACACATGCGGGCCCACTGTGTATGACTCTGCCCACATAGGACATGCACGAAGTTACATCACACTAGACATAATTAGAAAGACTCTTGAGAGATACTTTGGGTACACGATAACCTACATAATGAACATAACAGACATTGATGACAAGATCATACTAAAAGCAAAGGAGACAATGGAAAGTCTTCCAGAAAATATTCATGAAGAGTTTAAAAAGCTCTCAATTAATAATATAGCAGAAGAGACAGAAGAACAAAAAAGAATACATATAGCAACTAGGGCAGTAAGCAGGAAATATGAACAGGAATTCTTTGATGATATGGCAGCCTTAGGTGTTGATCTTCCAAATTACACAACAAGAGTGAGTGACTACGTCGATGAAATAATCAACTTTATTGTAGGAATTGAAGAGAAGGGATATGCATATGAGAGTGAAGGATCTGTTTATTTCAATGTGGAAAAGTATAAGGAGACACATAAGTATCCATTAATGTGCAATGCAACCACACAGGAAGACCAGCAGAGTCTCCTGGAAGAAGGAGAAGGGAAATTAACTGCAGGACAAAAGAACAGAAGGGAAGACTTTGTCTTATGGAAGGCAAGCAAGGAAGGAGAACCAGCCTGGACATCAAAGTGGGGACCAGGCAGGCCTGGGTGGCACATAGAATGCAGTGCAATGGCATCAAATATTGCAGGTGGCAGGATAGACATGCACTCCGGTGGAATTGATCTTATGTTCCCGCACCATGACAATGAAATTGCGCAGTCAGAAGGCCATGGATTAAATAACTGGGTCGGTCATTTCTTGCACACAGGACACCTGCACATTGAAGGCATGAAAATGAGTAAGAGTTTGAAGAATTTCATTAAAGTGGAAGAACTTCTAAAGAAGGGAACTACTAGAGAACTGCGCCTGATGTTCATACTTCAGAGATACAGTGGCCCAATGACTTACAGTGAAGAAAGCCTAGAGAGAGCAAAGGTAATTGATAAAAAGATATTTAGGTATATCTCACTCTATACGGATACACCAGCCAAGTCAGTCAATGCAGTGCACCCATTTACAGACGCAGAGAGAGAAATCTTGCAGGAATTTGAAAGAACAGCACGGGAGATTGACCAGGCCATAAAGGATGACTTTAATTTCCCAAAGGCACTAAAACTGGCAGTGGACCTGGCAAGTATCGAGTCAAAGACTTCTCTTAGAGAGATTCATCAGCAGATAGCCGGGTACCTAAAGGGTCTTATGCACAGTATAGGCCTGGAAATAGAAGTAGAGGCAGGTGCCTCTGCATCAACTGAAATGGTTGAAATAATAAGCATGTTTAGGAACAGAATCAGAGACCTAGCAAAGTCATCAGCCGACAAGAAGTCTTACTTTGAGGCATGTGATGAAATACGAAAGGAAATGGAGACACGTGGCTTTGTAATTGAAGATGGCAATGGACAAGCATCTTCTTCTGTCAGAAAGAAGTGCTAATTACAACACAGTACAGCCTAAAATAAACCCAAATTAATTCAATTTATTTCCCGAATGCATAATCTACCTCAAAGTCATCGATGTCTTCAAAATCCTGTGGTTCCAGGCGGTCAGACTCTGCTTTATCTGGGAGTTCTTTAAGGAGTATTTTCCCCAGTTTATTCTGCGTCTTTATTGTGTTTATTTTCCCACATGCCTTGCACCTTTGCTGAATGTGCTTTCTGTTTGCGTCTGTGAACAGGACTGTCTCTGGATTTCTTTCACAAGATTTGCAGAGAATGAATTCTTCTATAAATTTAAATATGCAAGATTGCACTTTCTCTGAGGTGTGTGATCCATTTATAATATACTTTGAGTTTGTTTCATCCACACTTGACAGAGTCCCTAAGTCATACGATAAATATTTCGTAATATATTTTGGGTCTCTGTCAAGACTTTTTGCTATGTCTTCTATATTGACCAAGACTGTTTTAATTCCATTCCCTCTGCCTTCTATCTTCACTTCAATCTCTGGCATTTTGTACCGATAAAATACATCTTCTGAGTTACGATCGATGTTAATAGACTTCATTCAAATAAAAAAATGCACAACACAGCAGCATAAATTCACCCAGAGAGAAATATCCAGTACAAAGAGAGTGAAATATCACAATAAGAGAATGACCAAGGGAATGATGAAAAATACTTCCATATGAAGATATACTGTGATGTATACGGGAATAGTTATATTTCTGAAGAAGAATTATTTTAAGCGTCTTTAGTCTTCCTTCAAGATTCCTTTAAGCCTCTTTGATTCTTCTGATTTCTGAGTATTTAAGGGAATATTTATATGCAGTGAGTATTTATATAGAGTGAGTTATAAGTGGTAGTGCATTGATTCGGGTTTATATCGGACTATATCTTGATATACCCCGATATAACCCGAATCTCTCTGTTGTAGGCTTGAAATACTCTGGGAATATAAATATAAGAAATACTCTGGGAATATAAATATGCGTATACCAAGGTTAGTCATTTATTTAGTTGCCTATTCTACAGGCATTCATTAGACTAAGCGCACTCTGCATTGTCTGCTTTAATTATATAAGATCCTTGGTGCACTGTGACTGTGCAATATTTAATTGACAACTGATTTAACTATTTCATCTGCAATTTGCTCGCACAGTTTTTCTTTTGATCGGATATCTGCAATTGTCTCTTTTACTTCACGGATTACTTCTTCTTCTACCCGGGCAAGGTCTTCATTTGTACTCCGGAAGTATGCATCTACGTCTTCTTTTTTTTTTCTAAGAAGTTCTTGTTCATATTCTTTAGCTCTTTCTTCTGTTTTCTGGCATATAACGTCTTTTTCCTTACGTGCCTCCTGGATAAGTTCCTGTGCCTTCTTGACTTCTTCTGCTAGTCTCTTAATGCTCTCTGTGTTCATGAAAAAATAATTGGCAAACACACAAATATTCTTTATAAGAGCAGAATATTAGGGAGAACAGAGACCCAAAGACAAGTAAATATATACAGATATAACAGTAGTATAGACTAAATATACTGGAGTGTTTAAGATTAAAGTATATTTATTCTAAAGAATATTCTGTCTTGTAGTACTATTACTCAGAGTGTACTAGAAATAATTCAAATTCAGAAATATCCCAGATACAGTATAAAATACATTATATCCATTGTAAAGTGCATTTATAAGGTAGTTACTGAGTGAATTACCCTAATACTCTGGTATTTTTGTTGTTTTATATCTAAAATATTTTCAGTCGCAGCCATGACAAATAATCTTTCACTACTGAAGAGGGAAAGAAGCGAAGAAGAAGGGAATGAAATTAAAAGAGAAGAGAAGGACTTTTTAAAGCTATTTGAGTTTGTGTGCAATGGAGATCTAAAAAGTCTTAGGAATGCCATGTGTATATATGAAATAAGCCAGGGTAAAGTGTTTGACCTTAAAATAGTGAATAAGTTTGGTGTTCATCTGATACATTCTGCTGCATACTACGGGCAAAGAGAGGTTGTTGAATTTCTTCTTTCTGCTGTGAGTGAAGTAGAAGAAAAAGACATGACTCTCTTTGAGGCTGTCACATCAGACAATATTTCATTTGAAAGCAATGATGTGGATAATTTCTCTACTGCCAGCTCAATTATTCTTCCTGTAGTATTTGGCCATGCAAAGCCAAGCACTAGTTTTATAAATATTCGGTCACTTGATCACAGTGCAACACCCCTTCACTATGCAGCCCTGGGTGGAAACAGAAATAATATAATTCTGTACCTACTTGCATGCGGTGCAGACCCCAGGCTAAGGGACAGCAGAGGGCATACACCACAGGATCTTGCCAGAGTGCATGGCCATAAAAAAACGGAAAAAACCATCATAAAATACATCAGAACAATAAATCAGAAGATAGAGTCCTTATAGGATCCTGTACATGCATAAGGTCCAGAGCATATACATGTTCAGGCCATAACTAGCATCAAATAATTGAGAAGATTCACTCATTCCAAATAAAAAGAGAGTATATTAGACTATTCTAATCATGCGAGATCTAATTATTATCTGTATTACTGCATATAATATGGTTTATATCACAGTAAAGGACCGGTCTTCAAGGCAACACCAAATATTTTTCATGGCGCAAACACAGAAGTTCAATAAATATTGTTGTCGAACTGAAATCGTTTAAATTATTATTACTAGTAATATAGAGACATCCAGCAGAAACCATTACTTCTAGTAGAATTACTAGTAGTAGTAGAGAGAGACAAAAAATAATTATTGTTGCCTACTAAGAAAACTAAAGATAAAAATTTATTTAAAATTACTACTATATATAGAGCCACTGGCAACAATTATTTAAAATTATTACTACTAGAGAGAATTATTAATACTAGTAGAGAGAAGCTGAGAACAAAAATTATCTAAAATTATTACTAGTAGTAGAGAGACAGCAGTAAGAAATATATACAATGAATATACAGGCCTAGAAATGATAAGAATAGACAAGACCCATATAGTCATATAAATGGTACAAATATACATAAAAACGATAAGAATATACGAGACACAGGCAGTCATATATCCATAAATATCCATAAATATATAAAAATATATTCGGGTTATATACATAAATATTTCTTGTCTTCATGAAAGCATCAAAAATATTTCTATCCTTTTATTAAATAGTTTAGACAGTTTGGACAAAAATCTACTGCTATTCGGGTTATATCGGGTTTTAAATGAATATATATCTATTGAATCTTTAAGATTGACTAATAACTAAATTCTTGTCTCTTGGGAGATTTCAGAAGATTCCTTGCATATATGAATGAATTTATTCACAAATTAGTCTGTAAGAGATACATATAATTGGTTCAATTAAGATAGAAGAAGTACTAATGGATTCTATTTAATTATGTATGGTATAAGCTACTAGATGATATCTTTCTGCAGAATTAATAATTTGATAGTCCTTCTGTAGCTTACGCCATAAACTCCTTTTTTTGCACTTCCATGATTAGGTCCAGTGCAGAGACCTTTGCGCACGGGTCTTCCCCGTATCCAACAATCATGTGGGATATCCCTGCATCACTGTGCATGAGCTGGCAGGCTGCATGTGCATCCTGGGCACTCAAATAAGAAACAGATATAATACCTCCTTCTTTCCTTTCTATTCTGTCTATTTCGCCATATCTTGATAATTCTTGTTCTAGCTTTGACTCATTTACAGATCTTTTGTCTACTCTAAGGTGAATAGTCCGTGTAGCCCCTTTGTACGCAAGGATTGGGGCTATGTGAGGAAGTGGCTGAATTTTCCCAGGACCGAGTTTTATTTGCATGCCCCTTATGCAGACAGAGAATGCCTGGGAGTACTCTATGAAGGCAGCAGCTGATACGTAGTTAAAAAACCCAACGAACGCACACTTTTTCTCCCGAATTAATTTAATCATAAAAACACGTCCTCCTTGGACAACAGAAAGAATCTCTGAAGGGGTTGTGTCTGCAGGTATATTCCCAAAGTATACTGTCCTGTTATTATATGCAGCCACATCATCTGTCTCCCCTGCCCCGCACTTGTCCTTTGCAAAACACGATTTCACATTCTGGAACAAACTATCATCCCTTACATTCACCACAAACTCAAGTGCAGCCGAAAAAGAATAGAATTCCACATATGCCACCTTCCTGTCCCTCATTTGCTTAAGAGACTCAACTACACCATACTTCTCAGCTTCTTCCCGAATAAATTCATCCGACATGAAGTCATCCAAATTTGAGAGCATAATATTCCTGGACCCCCCAGCTGCATGCGACAAGTACAATCTATTCCTCTCTTCGTCTTCCATCACAGTCTCAATTGGCTTAACACGAATTTTGTAGTCATCCAAGACAACTTCCTTCCCAAGCCTTTTCCACTGCTGGTACAATTCGTAGTAAGAGAAGAACGTAATGTATACGTCTGTGCCCTCTTGTTTCACTGACAAAATATCCGTTCCTTTAATGAGTGACAGTACATGGTGCAAAGGCATCTTCTCAGGTACCTCACTAAACTGTAGAACTGTATATCTTTGCATCTCCTCCGGTGATTTATTTCTTTTCGCTGTCTTGTTGTCTCTCATTGCATTCATGTCTTTAATGGATTTTTATATTTTTTAATTACACTAATATGTATAGACATGAAACATACTTAGCAGTCTACTTGAGTGCACTATGCAGCATATGCTTGGCAGATTTCATCAATGGGAAGAATCTGTATGAATCCCTTGTTGGGTTGGTTGAAAATCGGGTTTACCACTTTTTGCTATCTTTATTTTTTATCGGCACTCTGTACGTTCTGGGCCGTGTGCTTGCGTCTTTCACAATGGGTGAACTTAGTGCCTTAGAAAAAGAAGGAGTACAAGAGAGTGGGATGCATTATATTGGGAATATTTGCTTAGTTGTGACTTTATTTTCAGATTACATAACCATAAGGACACTTGTTCTGTTTGCCTTTGTCTTTGGTCTTAAAGTGCTTCACTGGCTGGTTGGCTTTAGAATAGATGCACTTGAGAAGAGTGGTTCTGTCTGCCAGAGAATTGAGAGGATGGTTGGCTTGGTGTGTCTTCTCTTTGTGGTGGACAGTCTCTTAACGTACCAGTTCATTACGCAAGTGTACAATTCCCCGGATGTCTCAATTTTATTCGCATTTGAATTCTTCATTCTCTTTGCTTATACAATTAGGTCTTTGTATTCCCTGGTTATCCTGCAGTATGCACCTGATACGGGCATTGAAGACCGAGTATTCCTGTTGTTCTATGGGGACTTTGCCTTCTGCATAGTTAAGATACTCTCACATATTATGTGCCTGGTAGTCACTACAATGTACTTTAGGATGCCCATAAATCTACTACGAGAGACAGTCGTTGCAATAAAATATCTGATTACTAAGACAAGATCAACCATAGCGTATAAATCATTAATTACATTCATAGAAGGCTGCCCAGATGTTGCAGAGGATGACATTGGTGCAGATAGAATATGTCTTATATGCCATGAAGAGATGCAAGTAGGGAAGAAATTGGAATGCGGTCATATTCTGCACCTGGTGTGCTTGAAGGAATGGCTGCACAGACAGCAGGCGTGTCCCATCTGCAGGAAGGCCGTGCACTCGAAAAAAGAGGCGCAGTCTGCAGCTAGCACGCAAGATAGAAGAGAGCAAGATGAAACAGCAGAAGTGCCATCTATTGTGCGGGTACTTTTGTCTGGGCAGTCTGATGAGTATGAAGGTGTTCCTGTGACAATAAACCATGAAAACCCATAATGATGCTAGACTAATTTCTGTGCATCTGTAATACTAGAATACTACGGCTGTTGTAGTAAGTATATTTATTACAATAAACTACGTATTTATGCTGTCTTTAAGTGTACACTGCATAAGGAATATTGCAGTTATGAATATTTTCTTATTGACTAATTTTAACTGTCACCTTGCTTTTTCTTTCTTTTTTTATCTGGTGTTTCCTTTGAAATCACAATTTTCCCAAATGAGTCATATCTGACGTGCTGTTGATTTAGGGTACTTATTCCTTCTGTATGGACAGTTGCTTGTTTTTGCTGAAATTCTTCTTTTTCTACTGGAATTCCTTCTGGGTCACGCAGACTCAGTATCTCACGAATTTGCACTAAGATGCTTTCCCGTATGTAAAATATGAATATTGCAAGTACTTCTCCTTCTGGGATGGAGTGTGCCCGGAATAAGTCTGCTGCATATATTTCTGGTTCATTTTTGATGGGAAACCGGAAGCACACTTTGTCTTGGATGTGCAAATAATTGAGAACTTTAAAGTCAATTGACAGATTTATGGTGGGTGTATCTGCAAGTTCTTTAAACCTGTCAATATCTGCTGTGTACTTTTTTATTTGTTTGTGCAGATCTTCATAGACCCGGATGGCAGGAGACCCAGTCCTTGGCTTTAAGTTTGGTGTCTCGTCTTTTTCAACTCCTGGTATAAATGGGAATACGCATGTGATGAAGTATTCTGGGCTATACTTCTTGCTGTCTATAAAAAATAGTTCACTAGAATTTGGTGTTCCCTCATTGGCTCTCGCTCGGATTGGCAATAACTCCATGGATGTAAAGAAAATAATATTCAAGACGCATTGTGATCACTATGTAAATAGAGTCTTCTATTTGTATACGCAAAGCAATGCAAGACAAAACTATTTCACTGAGGTGGCTGGGAAAGCATGCCACGCAGTCAAAAGAACAGTTAAAAATAGATCCAATCAAGAACTTACCCCTTATGGAAAGTTCAGTTGAGATAAAAAAGAACAAAAAATATAGTAGAGATAGTGTAGGGTGCATCTCCAGGCCGACCCGGGTACTACAGATTTGGTACCCAGAAGTACAGAATGGCAGGGCAGACCCGATCTGCCTGTGCTTCTTGTGTGATGAAGAGAGTGTCTGCAGTATGTGTAATTGTGCGTCTGGCTGCGAGGATCCAGAAGAGAAGACTGGGGAAGTGTCTTTTGTGAATGCAAAGAAAGAGTGCATTGAAGAAAGTCTGCACATGGAAAACAAAATTGATGCATTCACCAGGAAGGAGACATCTGCCCATAGGAATTATCGATTTGATTTCTGTCAGAAGTGCATGTACTTAAAGAGCTGGCCTATTATTTCTATTGAGGAAAGAATGTGCACTGCAAAGTTTATTACAGTAGGGCAGGCACTTGCCTTCTATCAGGCCCATAAATATATTCTACTAATGTCCTTTGGGGATGACATAAGGATGCCTATTCTGCATCCAGCCCCTAGTGTGAATTTATTGCTGGGTGTCCTTGACATGGCCTTCTCTGCACAGAAAATGAACATAGAAGAGACTGAATTTGAGTGCACGGGTGAAGAGCGCATGAAAAGAGAGATTCGGATGAAATCTGGAGTGGGGAATTTTGTTGAGCCATGCAAGTCACTTGACTTCATAGGGATGGCAAGTGGAAGGAACTCAAATATTGTCCTGCAGGAGAGAATTAGGGAGATGACGCAGGAGGGTCTTTTGCAATGCATATCCACACTCACTGCGCAGGAGTTTGTCTACTTGGCAAAGCACAAATATGGGACGTATGTGATTCAGCTGATTATTAGCCAGATCAAGGAAATTCTGTTGGTGGAGGAGGTGAAGAAGCATATGGCGCCATATTCAACAAGCCTGCTGCAGCATGAGATAGGAAACTATGTGATCCAGAAGATAATCAATTATGATGTGAAGTTTGTGTTTGACTGCTTCATGAAGGACTTCAAGCAAATTGCAAGCAGCAAAATAGGCTCGCGTGCCTTTAAAGGCTGCATAAAGCACTTTCACCTACAAAGAAAGGAGATCATACATGTGCTCTCTTCTGAGTTTCTTGAGTCACTTCCCTTTGAGGAGCAGAAGGTGATTCGCACAGCACTAAAGGAGATTCTGTTTGTAAATAACAAAGGAAATTAAAATCCTACAGAAAGAAAAGGCGTACACTGCCTGGGTAGTTCTGTAGACTTTAAAAATAAATAAAATTCTGAAAGAACAAAATACCCAGTTATATTCAGTGCATGCATCTGCAAGGCAAGAATACTGTAGTATTTACTATTTATATACTGTCTGTATTCACATATATTCACTGATTGGTTCTTATAGGGTTATATCGAGTTATATAATATTATGCCACATATATGTTTATTGTGGTATTTTACCACATTATTATTGCATGAGCATACCACATTATTATTGCGCGAGCATAAAAGTCCATCAATTTTCAACTCACATTCTTCACTCTTCCTCTCCAAAATATTCTTCGTACTAGGAGGTCACTGGATATAATTTTATTGAATTTTGTTGTCGACAAGAAATTTAAAAATATTATTAGTAGAGAGAATTATTAATACTAGTAGTAGAGAGAGACTAAAAACAGAAATTATTTAAAATTATTACTAGTAGAGAGACTGACAACAAAAAATATTAAAGAAGTGAAATGTCTATAGTAAGAAATATTCAACAAAAATACAAAAGGTATTCGAGCGTGTAAAAAAAGACATTCAAGTGTGTGACCAAAGATATTCGAGTATATAGCAACTATCTACTACTATCCAATATTCACTATCTAATATCTATCTATCTTAGAATACTATCTACTACTATCCAATATCTACTATCTTGTTATATTCTTCTCCCTAAAATATTAATATGCACTGTCGCGTATATCTCGAGTATGCCCAGAGTATAAAGGTATGAAGGTCTGAAGACATAAATGTTCCACGTGAAATATTGAAATTTATTGACTTTCTAGTTCTCAGACCGCTTTGCCAGCTGAAGAATATTCTTTAGCTCCCTGCAGAAAACAACTTCCAAAAGGTTATCGTCATCCACAATGCAGTACGGTATGGCAAGTGTCTCTAGATATTTTCCAATGACAACCTCCCCAATTACAGACTTGACAGTTCGCATTTCTTTGATCATTGCCCCACTGCCTACAATTAGCAGCAGTGTATTCGAGAGCATTCCCTGTGACAAAGACCCATCATAAAAGAGACCATCACTTATTAGCACATTATACCCGTATTTGTACTCGTCATTAAATACCCAGGATATGCGTGTCTCTTTGTCGTTGAAGGTAAGGCCTTCCAGGAGACGGCGCATGTCTTGGTGCTGGTGGACAGTCGAGCTGAAAGTGTGCAGCTCAAAGGGCACACCCAGAAGATCGAGTGAGTTAGTGATGCTTGTTAGACTTCTGATCAGTGCATCGACAATACTGGAGTTTTTTATGCTCCCACTGTTATCAACGAATATTCTTATCAGATACTCGCGTCCTTGGTTCTTGCTCTTTCGCATCCAGATTCTGTTCTTCTGCCCGTCACTTGCGATGTACGAGATAATTCTCTTCATGTTCAGTCTTCTTCCACTTGCGTAGTCTCCTTCGTATGCGGATTTCTCATTTTCCTCCAGGACCACACTCAGCTGCTTTGTTAGCTCTGGGTTTGTGATGTGCTTGATCTCTTCGTAGTACGCAAGGGGATCAAGAGACTTCAAATTTGGCTTTTCAAAGGGCGCCTTCTGAGGTGCTTCTGTTTGAGGTGTTTCCCGGTACTCTCCTGTATATGCTTCTTCTGCATCTACGTCTTCTGCATCTTCATTCATCTCTTCGCCCTTATCAACGGCTATTTCCCTTTCTGCTCCTTCGCCTTCTTCGTGCCCAATTCTTTCTTGGTCTTCATTTTCATCCTCTTTGAATAGCTGCTCTGGGTTGGCTTCTATCTCTGCAATCTCATACTGCCTGATATTATCCTGGTACTCTTCGCTTTCGTACTTCTCTATTGAGACATTCTCACTGCTTTCTTCATCTCCTGTTTCCAGGTCAATTCCTTCCAGGGACTCTTCTTCAAGCGAACATCCATCTTCTACTTCTTCCAGATCTTCCTTATTGAATTCTCCTCCTTCTTCATCGCACATCTCCATGTCCTGTATGTTCAGGGACTCTGCATCTTCTTCTTGATTTTCATCTATGTGAATTTCTTCTGGCTGCTCGTTCTTTTCGTCTCCTTCTGTTGCATTGCTGCCTTCCTCTTCATTCTTTTCTTCTGCCTCCGGGTCTTCCTCTGCGCCTTCATCGTTTTTATCTGCCGGTGCCTCTTTGTTCTTCTGGTTAAATTCTTCCTCGTTTTCAGAGACAGATCCGTTGTCAACTTCAATGTCTGGCTTATCTTCAGCTCCTGCTGTGTTCTGGACTTCACCTGCATTCTCGCAGTCTACCCCATCCTCTTCATCAATTTCATCGCTCTGCATGTCTTTTTCATCTTTGTAGTCATCGCCAATCTCTTCTTCCTTTTTGAGCTTCTCAGAGATATTCTTCTCACCTTCACCCAGGCGCATGCCAGCATCTTCCAGCTCATCAATAAGGCCATCCAGTCCATCTTCCTGGTCGTCATCCCCACAGAACCCGAAGGTCATGAGCTCAAAGAACAGTCCAAGCGAGACAATTATCAGCCTGCACTCTTCAGGCGAGGCCTGCATGGCGTAGTTCAGCAGCTTAATCGAAGTGTCTGAGATTCTTGTGGCAATCTGGAAGTTAATGACAGGATCTGCCTTTAAAACAGCAATTCCACTGTGCACGATCTTTGCAAGAACAATGTGTTCATCTTCCTCCCCGGTGTATTCATGCTTGTAGAAGTCACCTGCCCCAATAATTCCTATCCTGGAGATCCCAGCAGGCATCATGACAGAGAGCCTTTCAAAGAGAAGATACAAAGACCTAAGCTTCACACTCATGCTTTCCTTTTCCAAGAGACTTTTTTGTCTTCCCACCTCCTTCGCCATGCAGACGTAACACTCTTCTTTGTCACAGATGCATGCAAGGGAGACTGTCCTGTAGAATAACTGCGGCTTTATCACTGAGACAATTGGAGCCAGCAAGTTCTCAAGACCTTCTCTTATGGCATTTGCCTTAATAAGGATCGACTTTTCTCTGACTGGCACTATGGCACCATCTGTTCTCACCTTAATTGCAAGAGCTGTTTCCACCTCTTTTATGGCTTCCTTCACTGTCTCACTAATTTTCTCCTTTTTTCTTCTGACAGTCTCCAGGTACGGAAGGAAATATACAAGAATATTATTAATTTCATAGCGGCCTCCAGAGACAGACATTTGCCTGATGATTTCAATTCTTTTTTCCATGTCCCCTACAGTCGACTGTAGCAAGAATTCTTCAATTGCGTACAGCACATTCTCACTGGATGCAAGCTTCTTAGAAGAATCAAGAGAGAGTGCACTGAACAGGTGCAGCAGCCAGCCTCCGTGTATTTCCGTGTACTTCTTTGGGTTATATGACTCTGGGTTTGCATATTCCTTGTAGATTGCGTGTCTAGCTGTATTCAAGGGCGTACTCAGAAGGTTTATGTGGATTGCCCTTTCATTCAGGCGGTCCAGTTCAAGTGCGACATTCTGTGCTGGTACACCCACGGGCATAGACTTAATCTCCAGAACGTGCTCCAGAAGGAGCTGTTTTGCACCGTCATCCTCTCCCCAGTCATATTTCATTCTTCCTGTGAGGTTTTTCGCATTCTTTATCTCAAGGTGCGTCTGGTCTATCTGCTCAACAATCCGTGGATGCACTGAGACTTTGTAATCTGCCTTCTGTTCACCCAGAGACAAATCTAGGCCTCTGTGCTCTAGCATTGCATACGATGAAATTATTCCATCAGATGCTGCTGATACAGAATATCTCTCCTTTCCTTCAATGAATGCATCTGGTGAGTGCTTTGAGAAGGTAGTTTCGCATAGAAGAGATCCGCATAGAGTGAATATTTCTGCAGGATTCACTAAATCGCAAGAGAACATTCGCCACAGAATCTGTGCTGCCTTTGAGTGCAGAGGCACAAGTGCCAAGAATGAAGATCCGCTTTGCGTCATGGACTTGCATATCCTGGCAAGCCCGTCCTTTGGCGAAGTAGTTCCATCGCATGCCTGCAGTGCAGCCAAGCCTATTTCAGATACGAGTACACTTTGCTTCTTGGCAGATATTCTTTCTATTCCGCTCTTCAGAAGTGCGTAAGAGAAGCACTCCCACAAGTCAGAGTATTTTGACATATCTCTGCGTATCAGGGAGAAGGCAAGTGATTCAGGATACTCTGCGTGCTGTGCATCTTTAACAACGCCTTGCAAGTAGTATGCAAACTTCTTGAAATTTCTCTCTTTTCTCTTTGCCCGCAGGTCTTCCAGTCCTCTTACTATCTGTGCTGGTGGATATAATAGGCGCACTCCGTACTTGTACATATAGTAGTTCTTTTTCATCTGCCGCACTGCACTCTCTACGCGCAATTTACTTTGCTCTTCAATCTTCTCAATCTCCAGGAATATTAATGGGTCAATTTCGTACTTCAAGCAAGCTGCAAGCAGCTCAGTCAGTGCATCGTATGCAGGCGGTGCTGTCTCCAGGTCTGCAATATCTTTCTCCAAATTGCCTGACAGGGCGTCTAGTGCGCGTGCTATTTCCAGAATAATCGGAAGGTTCTTGAGTGAGTTAAAAGAAGCCAAGGCACCAGACGGACCGTACGCTGCTTCAATTAGCTTTATCCTGGCCATGCGTATAGAGACGTCTTTCCTGTGCAGGAAGGGCAGGTCCATTGCCTCAAAGTATGCTTTAAGGGCACTCTTTCCTGTCGCCAGTTTATCCTGAAGGGAGAGCAAAGAGTTCAGTACGTCCTGAGGGTCTTTCATTTCTCCTGCAGATCTATCGACTGGCTTAATACTAGATCCTTCTTCAGCTGCACTCTTTGCTGCAAACTCAGCACAGATTGTATACTTCTTCTTGAGTTCCGTGTACAGTTCTGTGTTTCTGTAGACTGCCCTGTACTCTGGCTCAATTGCATGCTCAGAGAGTCTTTGGACTAACTCACTAATTGACTCGTCAATTCTGCCTGCAGCCAAAAGGTCAAGGACCTCCTTCTCCAGATCACTCTGTGCTAGAGTTCTTAAGTGCGCAAGAATATCTTCTTCTAGGGTGAAATTTCTCACAGGGCACTCTCGCCCTAAATCTTGCAAATCTGCAGGTGCCCGGAGGAGTGGTCTAAGGCCAGTGCCAGAGACTGTGTTGTACGCAATTATTCTGCGCGCCCTGATGTGCGTGTGCAGTAAGCCTGAAGGAATTCTGTGCCGAGTTGCCGTTGTAAAGGGCATTGCATTCTTTGCTGCTGGAATGCACAGCATCTTTGCTATGTCAATGGAAGAGAAGCACTCAGACAGGTTCACTTGTATAGATCTGTTAATGAGTGCAGGAGAAAGATCTTTTGCACTTTCTGCGAGTGTGAAAATAAAGCGAGTCTCTGGGTGTGTGATTACACGCCTGGTCTCACTCCCTCCCTTCTCGTGGATCTCCAGGCCCCCTCCAATCTCAAACAGACTGTTCAGCCTATCTACCACGTCATTTTTCACAAGATTAATATTCTTCAGGAGAATGACTGCGCCTGCCTCAACGGCTTTTATGAAGGAAGAGTCCTCCCAGGCAAAGGGCATGCCCTGCTCCTTCTCCTGATCAGACTTAACGTACCTCCCAAGGAAGTCAGATGGCTCCATGTCCTTGTGGCAGGAAACTGTGCATATGCTGCGCCTGGTGACTGCAGCTGCAAAGCGTGCAAGCCTGCCCTTTCCTGCTGGGCCCCTAATGATACACGGCCATGCGTGGTTTATTCCATGGACAAGTGCTTCCAGGGCAGGCACATTCCCATGTGCAATGACGTAGTCCTGGTCTTGTGACAAGTCGCACTGCAGGAATGCCTTTCCAATGAAAAGCCCCTCTTCTGTGCCTCTGTAGAACAGGACGGGTGAAATTTGCATCTGATGGGTTTTTGGTGCTGACTCTCTCTGTATGGGATATGCACTGTGCTTCTCTTCTTCCTTGTCTACCTTGAGAATGGGCAGGTGTGTGCCAGAATATTCGAGAATGTCCTGGGATGCAGCCTGTTCATTCTTCTTTGCATCTGCACTTTCTCTTTGCGTGTACGGGATGAGATGCGGTGAGCCAATGGCCATGTGCCGCAAGCAGTCTCGCAGGTTAAGATCGTATGACTTTTTGCTTTTGAGTATCTGATCGACAAGAGTGTGGACTGCGCCTGGGTCACTGGAGTGCGGCGTAGGGGCCTGCAGCAGAATAATCCGAAGATCATCTTCTGAGAATGCGCCCCTGTGGATTCGCACAAATCTACTGAGGAATGACTTTGGAAGGAGTTTTCTTCCGTCTGTCCTGGATGTCTTTGGGTTCATTGTCCCGAAGATGACTGTCTCTGGGTGCAAAGAGACAGAGCCTATCTCAGGCACAAATATGCGCCTTCTGTAATCCAGACAGCCATTCAGGCCCTCCAGCACACTTTGTGTGGCCAGGTTTATTTCATCGACAATAATCCAGTCTCCCCGGGTGATAGCCCGAATGAACTCGCCTTCAATGAAGACAATCCCTTTATCTGTGGGGGTATTCCTTCCTGTTAAATCAGCCATCTCTGTTTCGTTACTCAGATTCACTCGGGTCACTCTCTTCCCCATGCGCCTGCCCACTTCCTCAATGATTTTTGTCTTTCCAGTGCCTGGTGGTCCCTCCAGCAGCAAATTGAATCTGCAGAACAGTGACTGCAGTATGCGGTACAGGGTCTCTCTGACGGTTGGTGGCGAGAATGTGTAAGAAGAGTTCTGTGCTTTTGTTTGAGCGTGTGTCTTCTGCAGGACAAATGGGTGTATGCCGAATAGTTCATCTGTGTCTATCAATGTCCCAATATTCTGGACTGGCATCTGCCTGACTAGTTCTATGCCTTCTATGAATATTGTAGCCAGGTTCTTTGGGATATTTGTGTCTGATGGGTAGTTTGCAGCGTATCTGGCAAGTACTTCTGCCTCACGGGCACTCTCCACTTGGATTTGTGTCTTTGCCAGGGCCGTGTGAATTGCCCTGTACAACTCGCTTCTGTCGTGTGCATCAAACAGGCCGTACTTTTCAGCGTAGAACAGGAAATATTTAACGGCTTCTTCATTGTTTTCAAGTCTGTCCACGTATATGGTTGTGAACCTAGTGGATATACTCTTCCCTACCTCTCTCTTTCCGTAGTCATCTCCTGGGTTCATGGTTCCGATGATCCTAAACCCTGGCTGTGCTGTGATGTGCTGGCTGGTCTCGTGTATTCGCAGAGTCCTGTCATCAAAGAGTTCATTAAGCGACTCAAGCACGGAGTCTGGCACCAAGTTGATTTCGTCAATAATCAGTGCAGTCCCGCTCTTCATTGCATCAAGCAAAGGGCCGTCCTTCCAGATGAATCTGGGCGTACTTTCTAGTGCTTGGCTGGACAAAGGTCTTTCTTCTTCTGTGTCCCGGGCTGCTGTCTCTCTGTATCCGCCTATAAAGTCGGACAGTTCAATTCCTGCGTGCATTCCAAGGACGGTGCTGGGTGTCTGCATTCTTCGAGAGATGTATTCAGAGAGGTAGGTCTTTCCAATGCCTGGTGCCCCAACAAGAAGGATATTTTCACTTGCGACCCATCCTGCCTCGATCTTTCTGAGTGTGCGAATGACTCCTGGTGTAAGAAGGGGCGAGTACTCGTCCTCCTCCAAGGGGAATGAGATTGCATCGATGTATGCCTTTGTGGTGCAGGGTATTTTGAAGACCTTGGTGAAGTGTTTGCACACGATATTTTCTATCTTCTGCTTTTCCTCTGGGTTACGAATTTTCTCTGTGAGAATCAGCATGGTGTAGTAGAAGAGTCTGTCTTCCTGCTTCGCCTGCGTGTCAATGAATGGGGCCTGTACGTCCTGTGTGAATCTTTGGAGAATCTTCATGAGCTCACGGAGTGTAATGTACTCGTGTGATCTGTTGCACGTGAGAATCCTGAGTTCTTCGTATATGTCAAGTAGCACTTTTGCAAAGACCTTTCCTGTGCGCATTCCGTGCAGAAGAATTTCAAGTTCCTCTCTTGTCTTTTCTTCAACATATATCTCAATGAATCTGTTTCTGAATGCTTTGCTAAGGTGCTTTCTGTTCCTGTAGTCAGTTGACTCTGATGGGTTCTGTGTTGCAAAAAGTGCAAATTCTGGGTGCGCCTTGACAATCTCCTGAGTGGCTGGGATGAAAAGTTCTCTGTTGCTGTCAAGAAGTCTGTTAAGGGACTCAAGCACTTCAGTGGGTGCGAGATTAAGTTCATCCAAAAGGATCCAGTGACCTTCTCTGACTGCTTTTATAAGAGCACCTTCTTTATAGACGAATTCCGAGGCATTTCTACTCTCCTTGCACTCTGCTCCTTTGCACCTTCTTTTTACAGCCGGGTCCTCTTCTATTTGTGTCTCTGTCTCTGTGGGATTAGTGTGTGAGACGCCGAATGTTCCCAGATATTCTGTGATATCTGTGTGCTCGTGATTATTTATTCGGACAATCTGTTTGCCTCTGCTTTGTGCAATGTACTTTATCAGGGAGGTTTTTCCTACAGAGGTAGTTCCCTCCAGAAGAACAGCTGTGCCTGTGGAAATAGCAGACTCTATTTCACGGATGTACTCCTGGGCCTGTGGTGTGACAACGTAGTTCTCTGTTGATGGGAGCCTGTGCACTTCTCTCTTCTCTTCCTTGAATATTGTCTGGAGCAGCTTTCTTCCAAGGACTTTGTGCTTTATGCAGAGCTGTGTCAAAAAGTTCACCTGAATTGCCTCTACAACGGGAATATTCCGCATTTTCAGGGTTCGTATCAGGTTTCTGATTCCAAACAGGGCGGGTCTGTTGCTTCCAGTGCGCAAACCGTGTGTCTCTGCAATACGCTTAATCTCCGTGTAGAACTGCACGATATTCTTTATCTCTTCCTGGTCATGGTTCTTTCCGTAGCCCTGTGCTACAGCCAGCACGTCCCCTGGGTATCTGTCAATTTCGTCCATCCAGTGGTAGAGGGTTCTGTCCATCTCAATGTTTTTCTTTCCGTGGTCATCTCCTGGGTTGATGCACTGGAATATGACGGTTCTGCTGCTCATTGGGATGATCGCCCCGCTTTCCTCTATGATTGACAGCTGTCTCCTCTGGATTGCTGTGTTAATGTACCGGAGGGTGGAATTTGGTGCCAGATTACTCTCATCCAGGAGTATCCAGTATCCGTACAGTGCAGCACGCACTAAGGGCCCCTCTACAAATATGCACACATTCTGTGCGCCATCTTCAATCTTCTTGAGAAGACTGAGGGCCTGTGCCAGCTTTGCAATTGCTGTTTCCTTCTTCTGAGACGGCTCCTTTGCACTTTTCTCACTGAACTTTGCAAGAAGGTCTTCTGCTGTGTCAATGATCACATCTACCCTTCTGTCTTCTGCTGCCTTGTCAACCTCCCTTAAGAATGCGTCATTTTTCTCTTCATTGAAAAATACTTCGAAGTATCCTTGTACGATATCGTTGATGTGGAGAATCAGTTGCTCTGACGTAGCAAACTGGTACGATCCCAGTAGGTCTGTGATATCTGTGTCCTTTGACAGGTTCACACACAGCATCTTCCTTGCATCTTTGTATCTGCCTGTCAGAAGGGTCTTTCTTTTTTCAAATATCTTCTGGACAGTTGTTGTCTTTCCTGTTCCTGTCTCTCCAATTAGCAGAAATGAGTTTGCAACAGAAAGACCTTCAACCACGTACAGAATAAGGCGGATTGCAGGCACTGTAAGCACGTACTCCGTCTCTTCCTGCAGGCACTTTGTTGCCTCATACGCTGCACTGCTCCAAAGAGCCTCTATGTCTTCTCCTCTTACGCACATCATGCTCTGCAGAGAAATCTCTTTCTCGTCTCTCTCCTTTGGGGAGAGGCCTGAGAGGAGAACATCACTGAGTATTCTGTACAGCTGCGTACGTGCCTCTAGTGCGCCCTTCTCTGGTGCTACAATATTACACACGCACATTCTGTCTAGTATCATCTGCAGGTGGTAGTATATTTTTGTTCTCTCTTCCACCTCTCTACCCACGCACTCAATCTCGTATGCATCTGCGTACTTCTTTATTGCCAGAAGGACTGTTGCAGCAGTGCTCATCACTGCCTCGTCTGGGGCCTCGCCCTGTGTAAGTATCTGGGCTATCTTTCTTGCTAGTAGTGCATTATAGTCTTCCTTCTGCAATAATGCTCTTCTTTGGTCTTTTGTTTTTTCTTTGTTCTCTGCGCTCTCTTCCCTTCTCATCTGCATGAGATACGCTAGCCCTCTGTTTGAGTCTGCTGAGTAATCCTTTGAGAAAATAAACAGTTGAAAGGACTCGTTTGGAGTCTCTTCTGTCCCTGGGATATTTGCATACTCTGAGATGATGTAGTTTGTAATTGGGTTCTCTTTCTCCTTTGAGTTGACAATCAGCCAGTACCCATTGCGCATTGCCCTAACGAGCGCACCTTCTCTTCTTACTATATTCTTCTCCTCAATGTGCACCTGCTCAACGAGAGAGGCTGTGTCCTGTATGTCCTCTGCATCTATCTCTATCACGGGGATCTTTTTCATCTTGGCTGCTGCATACAGTATTTCCTTTGCTTTTATCGTGTTTGGCATCTCTGCTGGCACGTGCAGCTTTCTAACTATGTCGTACTCCTGCGAAAACTGGTCTATTTCCTGTGGTGACCCCAAGCGGAACGTATTTCTGCTTGCTTTTCCTATTTTCGTTTCTTCCGTTGTAATTGAACTCATGAAAAATTCTGTAAAAAAATATATTTATGTCCAGCACTGAGTCTACAAGTATGGATGATTACTCTGACACTGAGTACTACACAGAAGACGAGAACTATGACTCACGGGATGGGTCTGAGCTAATGGCCTCTAGCGGGAATATGCCAGATCTTTTCACTGTGAGAACGGGTGAGTGCCCCGGGGAGTACGAGCGCATTGAGCTTCTTATCAAGCACTCGAAAGTCCTCAAGTCTGGGGGCATATCAGAGGAGGAGAAGGCTGCCCTGTTCTCGCACATGGTGGTCCGGTCTGAGGCAGAGGGTATTGAGGCAGAGCCATGGATTACGTCTTTTTTCTCTGTGCTTCAGTACCCGACTGTTCGCTCTATGCTGCCCAGCAAAGTGGCAAGTGCAATTGGCCAGCTTCCAGACCACGAGACTCTGGATGTGCTGATTTCCTTCCGCTTCTCAAACGTACCAGAAGAGATCGTGTATGAAATGTACGAGTCATTCCCTGGTGCGCACATGCACAAAAAGGACCAGAAAGTGCTTCTTTTGTCGCTGGAGAAGCCCGTGCAGAAGGAAGAGGAGGCTGAGATAAAGCGCGTATTCCCTGCCTTTAAGTTCCAGGGCAGCGGAAAGCTGTTCCCCGTTCACACAGAGGAAATCTTTTTGATTCTTAATGCGGAAAAGCCTCTTTTCAGCTGCTTAGTGCACGATGACACCGCAATCAAGGGATACATTCTAGATAGAGAAAGATTCATTGCTTTCATAGAGGCAATGAAGAAGTACTATACATAGAAGCCCAATAATTAACTAAATCACAGAAAGACCTTTTCTACACGCACTTTGTTTTTCTTCTTATAGACTTGTACTATACTCAGCCAGAATTACATTGTATTTGGTCTATGCACGCATTGCACATGACTAAATAACTGGAGCTTAAATAGTCTTAGTCACTCTGTATTATGTATATTCTGCAGTTCCACTATAAAGATACTTCTAAATTTACTTTTTAGTCCAGACACTTTGGGATATGGGGGGGGTATATTATAATTCGGGTTTTTCGGGTTATATCATTGCTTGTTATTCAGTTATTAAGTTATTTTATTTCTTGTTATTCAGTTATATCATTGCTTATATCATTGCTTGTTTATCAGTTATTCAGTTATTTCATTCGGGTTATATCGGGTTATATCAAATTATCTATAAGCTACTATTGTTTTATTCATCGATTTATTAAATATGTTTCTGATGGATTTCTGCATATTTAAATTTCACTCTGAAGCTTCAATAATTTCATGCGAAAATCCTCTTTGCAGGAGTCTATTTATTTAAGGCCCAGAGCATATCTTACTATGATAGATATGCAGGGATAACTCTATAGATGAATTGTGAACCGCTGTGATACTCGCAGATTCAGCCCAGAGACAGAGTGAAATGGAAGCCTTCACTGAAAATTCAATAAATATTTCGCTGGTGCATGGGAGACTGAGCTATCCTGCTACACTGCAGACCAAGTAAAAATGTGTGGCAGGGCGTACTATATTTATTCTCTTATTGGAATAGCTGTGATATTTCCTGGCGGACATCCTCTATGTCCTGGTTGGTTATTTGCCGGATCTCCTCAAGCATCTTTGACAGGCCCTGGTACAGAGCAGTCTTAATGGGAAGGGCTGCCTTCTCCTCAGATGTGATAAAGTAGTTTAGCTGTATTACAAGTTCATCTGGAATTATTTCGCGTGTCTCTGATGCACTGGAGTCCAGAGAAGGCTCTACCTTTTCTAAAACCTCTGGACTCTCAGACATACTCAGAAGGTCAGTGCTCTCTCTATGGCTGCTGTGCGTCTTTTCTGTCTCTGCTGATTGCTGAATGAAGGAAATATTCTCTGATGATGGATTCAGAGTAGGCGTAAACCTGTTTTCATTGTTTCCACTCTCCTCAGTTTCTGGTGTCTGTGAATCTTCACTTTTTTTTCTTTTTAGGGTGCTCTTCTTCTTAGTGCTTGAATTCTCCTCTGGCACTGTCTTCTTTTTCTCTTCACTCAGATTTCTTCTTGACGGCAGTCTTCTGCTTGTCATGTACTCCGTGCCACTTTCAGTTTTCAGCTCAATGTTATTTATGGCCGTCTCTGGGAGACCAATCGTATATACAGGCATCTTTGCTGTGTCTACCTTTCCTGCAATGAGCTGCATGTAAAAGTATGAGTTCTCGTCTAGATCATCTTCAATGAACATCCGGTTCTCTATCTCTGCAATTTCCATGCTGCATTTTTTGTTGTGCCACCCGTGCAGCTCTTTTATACGCGGGCCTGTGTGGGCCCTCTCCTCCCCAGATATTCTGCAGTTAAACCCGCAGTTGAAGCAGAACATATTTGGGACATTGTCCTCTATGTTGTACAGAAACAGACCGTGCGAGGCAGCACTTACTCTGGCAGGGCCTACCATCCTGTGCTCTCCCCACTTGAATGACTCCATCCGGGCCTGGGCTTTATGCATATGGAAGAGAATGCAGTCAGACGAGTGCATCTTGTGCTCCTTCCAGGGAATGTCTTCCTTGTCCCAGCCATCGAGTGCCTTCCCGCAGAACTGACAGATCACCGCATCGGCAGACTTTTCAGATAAATCCCTTGCAAACCCAGCATATGCAAGTATTTCTGCGCTGTGCTGCGGGGTACCCCATTCATCTCCTTCAAATGTTTTCACTCGAGACTTTAAAGAAGTAATCTTTTCTATTGCCATATGAACAAAAAAAATATGCGAACAAATTATACAGTAGAAGTAGTTCCGTACGAGATGGACAAGGACCGGTCTCGGGCTTATGTTACACCAAACTGCCTGCGGGAGTCTCATTTGAAGCCTGGGCAGCACGTAAAAATAACCGCAGGCACGCGGGAGACTGTGCTGAAAATAATCCCAAAGTTTGACGGTGATGACCACGCCGTGTACCTCCCCCGAGAGGAGATTATGCTCCTTGGAGTGCGGGCAGGAGACCTTGTGACAGTTGAAAAAAGCACACTAGACTATCCTGCGTGCACTCATGTGGTTGTTCTCTTTAAGAAAATGCGAAAGACTGTGGAGAGGCTTGAAGCACTTCGGTTAATTCTGGAGGATAAAAAAGTTGTGCAGAACGGAGATGTCATCCTTGGGGGACAAATAAAAATAAAAGAGGAAAGAGCAAGAATATCCGAAGAGACAAAAATAAAAATAGAAATAGAAGACAAAGCACTTCCTGCTACAGGACTGGAGAAGGAGATCGAAGGCCTAAAACAGTTTATTGATAACGCGCACTGTTCCCAAGGCAGAGGTGCAGAGGAAGAAAGCATCCAGGAGAAGAGAGTGTCCGTGTACATGCAGGCCCCCAGGGGAATGGTTATATCAGGCGAAGCAGGAATGGGAAAGAAAACCCTCTGTCTTTTTGTTCTCCAGGAGATTGGGAAGGAATGGGTGCGTGTCCACGGGCACAGCCCAAAGGCAATTGAAGATGCATTTGAGTATGCAAAGATAAATGAGCCATGCACTGTGTGGATTGACAGACTGGACAGATACGTTGAGGAAAAGCAAATAGAGACAGTGTCTCTTGTGGAGAGGATGCTTGAGGAAATCACAAAAGAGAGAAAAAGAATTGCCGTTATTGCAACAGTAAACAGTCTGTCACAGGTTCCTAGAGAGCTGAGGAGTGCACATGTGCTGGATAAGTCGATTATTCTGCACGCCCCCACATCAGCCCAAAGAAAAGCGCAGATTGAAATGGGCGTACAAGAGCACTCTGCACAAATGGGGTGCGCTGTAAAGGAAGATGTTCTCGATGCAGCTGCAAAGAGAACTGCTGGGTTCACACGGGGGGATCTTTTCCTTCTTCTTCGGGACAGTTTATTCTCTAAGGGACCCTCTGAGAAGGAAATCTGCACGGAATCTCTGCAGAAAGCCATTCCACTTGATGAGTCTATGAGAAACCTTGCAATTTCAAAAGGGACGGGTGTGTGCGATGGAGAGTGCATGCACAGGCTCATGACACAAATAGTGCGCACAATCCCAAGTGCTTCAGATGGAGCACCTGCTGAGGTGCCAGATATCAGATTTTCATCGATATTTGGACAGGAGGTTGCTAAAGAGAAATTGATGGAGACAATTATCTGGCCGATAACACACAGGTCACTGTTTTCTGAGGTGGGGGTGTCGCCTCCAAAGGGTGTTCTTCTTTACGGGCCCCCAGGATGCGGGAAAACACTTATCGCACAGGCACTCGCAAATGAGAGTGGATCTGTATTTCTTTCAATACGCGGGCCAGAAATAATGGGAAAGTACGTTGGAGAAAGCGAAGAAAGAGTGCGCAGGGTATTCGCAAGTGCGCGTGCACAGGTGCCTTCTATTATATTTATCGATGAAATTGACTCAATTGCCCCTCATAGAGGCGCAGAGGGTGGGCAGGTTGACAAAAGAGTTGTGTCAACTCTTCTCACAGAAATGGATGGTGTAGGTGGTGCTGCAGGAGTCTTTGTGCTGGGGGCAACAAATAAGCCGTGGAGCATTGACAGTGCACTCATGCGGCCTGGCAGATTTGACTGTCATGTCTTAGTGGATCTGCCCAGTAGAGACACACGAAAGGAAATAATCCAGAATAAGCTTGGGAAGACGCTGGCTGCAATAACCCGCTGGGGTGTGCAGGAAAAGAACACAGGCCTTCTTGCTGAGTTCCTTGCAGATACAACAGAAGGATTTACAGGTGCGGAGCTGACTGGTCTCTGCACAGAGATTTCAATGGGTGCTCTTCGGCTCAAGATACAGGGAACTGGCTCGGGGGATGGCGAAGTGACAGAGCAGGCCATGCTTGACCGATTGAAAGAGATTGCCAGAAACACAACACCCCGAATTCCCCTAAGGGAAATAGAGACATTCCGGCAATTTTCGCGTGATCCAATGAGCATCCCGCACTGAAGGTCTGCACTGCATATATGTCTAGTAATAGTGTGGTTTATCTCTGCATTTTTGTGCTATACTTCTGAATCTGCAGTAATTAGATCTCACTCAGAAATTGCAAGAAAACAATAAATATATATGCTGTCTAAGTAGTATAAACTTAATACAATTGCATTTTACACGAAGACTTCGGGTTATATCGGGTATTTTTTGATATTCTGCAATACACTATAGTCTAGACTACTGCCTTTGGTTGATGACTTAATCATATTTGTATGCACTGTATACTCTATGGCCTTTAATAGATGTATATTGCAGAATAACAAAGAATATTTGTTTTGTTCGCTCTGGCATACACTATATTGCTTAGTCATGTTCATATACAACTATTTTCCTATTTACCTTTCATAATGATTTCATGAGTATTTGTGCACTTTCTTGTGTGTTCTCTCTTATAGTAGAATTTATTTTAAATTTGAAGGCGTACACTCTGCTACAACTAAAATATTTTGGATTATATTGGGTTATAAAAATATGTAAGTAAAGGGGACTGTAGCCAGAAAAATTAAAGAAATATAAAGAGAAAGGCTTTTATTTTTAATGAGCAAAAATAGTTGGGTTATTTATTGTCTATGGGAATATACTCTATGAAGGAATCGAATTTATGGGGTAACTGAGAGGGTGCTTTAATATCTTCAGCCAAGTATATTTATGAGCCTGTTAATTTTGTCCATATCACTTTCACTGTGGCATAACTTATCCATTAGCTTACCAAGAGTTTGGATGGCAGTGAGGCATACTTGGCGTGACTCAATGCAAAAAATATATCTTTCTAAGATGAATTTGTAGTTGCAAATTGCATGGAAGTTTATCTTAATTAGCTCTAGATTTAGATTCTCCTCTGCACATAAATAAGTCAACCATATAAAATGCATCCGGTCCTTCATTTTAGTTTCATATTCAGGGTATGCTTTCCCGAAAATTTCATTAATCTCATTGGCATACTCCATGCTTCCATCTTTGAAGATTTTCCGGGTTATATTTCTATTCACTGAACCTATTAGCAGTGGATTTGAGTGCATGCCTTTTCCAGCGCCAAGTTGGCTTATGACCATTCTGAGCCATATCATAAAAATATCTACATTGCAATCTAGAATGTACCCAATGAAGTTTTTAAGATTTGAGCGAAACTCTACAAGCGCGCGCAGATCCTCTGTTAGTTGTATTCTTGGGTAGTTCGTAGCACCGCTTCTTTTTTTGTACTCTGTTGCAAAGACAATTGGAGAAAGTATTCGTAATTGAATCTCCCAGTTATCCAGCTCTGTGCTTCCTAGTATGTTGGAGGTAAAACGAACAACAGGGTGTGTTTTGGATAGATTTTGGTCCATGGTGTATGCGATGTAGCAGGTAAGTAGCTCTGCCTTATAGTCTAGGTCACGGATCTTCTTGATCAGTAGAAGTCTATTTATGTCTATGTGGTTGTTCTGTATGGTCCTGCGCACCTGCGCCTTCATAAACTCTTCAGTCTTCTGAGGGCTGTCAATCTTTCTTATTTCATACGCAACGTATGCAGCAAACAGATTCTCAATAAATGTTCCTTCATTTTTACAGAAGCAGTAGTCTGCTATTTCATTCATTTTCTCTATTCGGTCATCCTTGATTTTCATAATAGCTGGCTTCATGTCAATAGTACCATGGCCTTGCTCTATACCCAAGACTATTCTATTCGTAATGGACTTGTATTCAAATGTAATAGTAAGCTGTCCAGATACATCAGATCTTCCGTTATTATATACAGTTCTATTAAGCCCAGAGAAATGTATTTCTACATTTTCTGTATTGGATAGGCGCTTAACTAGTGCCTTTGTATACTCTTTAATCTCATTGTATAATTTATAGTCTAACCCACTTATTTTCCCCTTTAACTCCTCTGAAAAGCCAAGTATTTTGTCTTTTTCTTCTCTAGGGGCATTTATTACTTCAGCAATAACCATGAGCATATTTATGAGGCCTGTGTCTATCTCGTTTCTTTTTCTGCAGTATGCAATGCTAGGCTCTTTTAAGTCAGCAACAACTTTGCACCACTTTCTCTGAAATTCATCCTTTGTTGTGTCAAACGGCTGGTTCTTCAAAGAGAAGAATTCTTCAAGCTCTTCAGAGACATGCCCCATGTGGTCTGTCCGATAAATTCCCTTTGCTGGGTCATAAGCGAGGCAGCAGAAGAGAGAAAGGATCATGCACTCCACACAGTTACTGTATCTCTCCAATCTGTTAAAAGAAAACGACTTGTTTTTACGTGTGTAGTAAGGGACAGATTTGTATGCAGGAAGCTGCGTTTTGTCTGTAAATGGAAAGACCTTATACCTAGCCATAATCTGCTGACTTTTTTTCAGTAGGCGCATATACCTTGTATTCACCATAGTTCCAGCTGGCTTAAACAGTCTGTTGTATACTGAGTTGTCTTTGCTTGTTGCCTCTGTTTTTGGTGCGTACTTCTCTGTCATTTCGTGCACAGTCTGAATAAACTCTATTGCACGCTGTGCTGTGTCAATGAACCCAAATATGTATGACTGGATTAGGAACTTGGGACTGTCCAGGAACTTTCCTGTGGCAAACTCATCATATGAGCACTCATCTACCATCATGCTAAGTACTTCACGATTGACTGAATTCTCCTTGAAAAAGCTGATCATTTGCTTAACTTTCTTCTGTTGGAATGTTTCTGCTTTGTCTGTTGCAGGGTTCAGCCATGGGACTGCCATGGGCACTTTAAAGTATATTTCGTCTTTTTTGTCTTTTTCATAGACTTCTAGTACAGTGTTAGTGACTTTAATGGGAATATTCACTCCCTCAGAGAAAAGGAGCAGTATGGCTAGAATTTGCAATGCATGCTTCTCTGTTGTCTCTGCCCGGAGAAATTGAACAAAAGACTGGTTCCCTCGTGTCTCTATTGTTATGTCACCAGTCGGTGATGGAAACAGCTCAATCAGATGATTGTGGTACTTCTCAGCGTACACATCCATTTTATTAGTGGACTGTGCTGTATACGCTCTGTCCCTTTTTTCTTCTCGTACGTACAGATATCCCGTGTTCGTCACAGATTCAACTGCATATTCCTCTAATTCGTACTCTATGTTAATCTGTGGTGAGAAGAATCTTTTGTTGTACATGCACTCCATCCTCTGGTAGATGTATCCCCGGAGGAAGTTAAGAGGGCCCTCTGGGTTGATCACTACTTGAGAAGAATCTGTTGCAATTTCAAAATTCAGTGTAGATTCTACTTCGCTTAGGGTTATATCTGCTCTGCACATATTCATCAGTAGAAGACTAATTAGGGTAACTGACTTGAGCCAAATAACGGAACACCTCATTTTTAGAAATAAAATAAATCATTTTTCAATATATATTAACGAATATATACAGAAGGATTTATAAGCCACTTTCTGTTGTCTACTAGTGCATATACTAATATACCTTACTAATATCCCTTACTGAATATTACTAAATACACTATTACTATGAATATTTAATTCGGGTTATAGAAGACAAGGAATATAACTCGAACTAACCTGAATACAACCCGAAATAACCCGAATAAAGAGTACTATGTCTCATTACATGCTATTTATCTTGTCTACTTTACATTCACATCCTTTTACATCTCTTCCTGTGGTAGTATGAATATAGACATATTCTGGTTTTTAGTTTTATAAATCCCTCTAGAACAGCACGATGCATGAAGGCATCTATGATGTCTTCTTAGAAGAATTAAAATATACGTATAGTATGCCCAGCAGTTCTTGCTTGTATATTTAAATAGAACTATTCATAAAAACCAAATACACCTGGTATTTTTGTGTTTAAAATAGATAATCTTGATTGCCTCTTGTGCAATGCCTATAGTCACTGCTAAGTCTCGTAGTTTATTAATATATTACATATTTTTATTTCTGTCTTTTATTTCTGTCTGCAGGCTGTCACTTAAATAGTCAGTTTTACTTTTATTGCTGAAAAGAATGGAAGAGCTTCGGATTCTTGTCACCACGGATAACCATCTGGGATTTGCAGAGAGAGACCACATTAGAGGAGAAGATTCCTTTCGGGCATTCGAAGAAGTCTTTGCACATGCTCGCGAGACACAGGCTGATTGCATTCTTATATGCGGGGATTTATTTCATGAAGTAAGCCCCTCTAAGTATACAATATACAGAACAATGGAGATTCTGCAGAAAAACATCATGGGCGACCAGCCGATAGGAATGGAGTGCCTGGAAAACGGGAACTTTGTGAATATTGACAAGAAGCAGAGGAGTGTGAATTACAAAAGCACAAATATGAATATCCAGATGCCTGTGTTTGCCATCAACGGAAACCACGACGAGCCTTCTGGGCACCGAGGAGTGACTGCTCTGGATATATTTGCAGAGGCTGGGCTGATCAACTATTTTGGCGGAATGGGTGGAAAGCACGAAAGTTCAGTGATAAGCCCGATCATTCTGAAGAAAGGGGAGGCTTTGCTTAACTTATACGGAATGGGGGGAATTCGGGATGAAACGATGAGAAAACTTCTGGCTGAAGAAAGAATCACACTTGCTCCTGCTGCAAAGGGTGTGCGTGTGATGGTCATTCACCAGACGCGGTGCGGTGTAGGGATCAACTCTTATGTGCCAGAGGAGCTCCTTAGCAAAGACCTGGATCTAGTTATATGGGGGCACATGCACCAGTCTGAGCCAATTCCCGTGCAGAACTACAAAATGGGGTTTCACACGCTGCAGCCTGGGTCTACAGTGCAGACCTCCCTATGCAAGGCTGAAAGCAGTGATAAGCACTGCGTTCTTCTTAAAATCCGCGAGGATGGGTGGAGCAGCACGCCAATATTAATGATGAGTCCGCGGCATCTGGTCTTCAAAACGATCACTGCAAAGGAAAGCAATATAGAGGAGAAGATCCGGTCTGAAATGCAGGCCATTCTGGAAGCCCATCGAAATGCGCACAGACCCCTTGTGAGACTGCGCGTGGAGGTTGACGATGCAATATCCAACACAATTATCCCAAAAAGAACCATGAAGGAGTTTGCGGACCGGGTTGCAAATCCAAAGGATGTGCTAAGGATTATCCACAAGAAGAAGCAGCCCATGGCAAAAAGACTAAGTGAGCCGCGCCCTGTGCAGGCCAATGCGCAGTTTATGCTAGACATAGAGGATGTCCGGATTCTTTCCAAAGACATATTCGTGCAGAGCATCATGGAGTGCATAGACAGAGAGAATAAAATGGTTATATCGCACCGATATGATGAAATAGTTCAAGAAGTAGCGAAGGTTCTAAAGTCACACAGATGGACGGATATTGAGAAGGAAATAAATCCAGCCGTTTTGGAGATAGAGAAGAGATTTGCATACGGACGAGCCTCAGCCCTAGAAAACATATCACGGGAGGAGCAGATGAAGGAAATAGAAGACCGCCAAAATATCTATAACATAAGTATGGATGGCCACGAAGTAGAAATTAGCAAAAAAGTATCGCTAGAAAGTGAGAGAGATGTGCATGCTGTGGAATCAGAAGTATACAGGCGCCCTGCTGAATGCAGCAGACTGCCCCAAGAAGCAGCAGAAGAAAACACCAGGCCCCACTGCTTTATGTCCAAGCAAGAGCCAGTAATTTCTGGCATAGCAGGCGCAGATATTCTCCAGGAGGAGTCTAGTGTGTCAGAGGCCCAAAAAATCACGCCTTCCAATGAGAATTCTTCCAAGAGGGCCAAGATAGACTATACATTTTCATCACTTTGGGAGTAGTCATTTGCTTCCTTTGCGCATGTCTGATATACCCACTAATGTGCTCTTTCGGAAACAGTTCTTCTATTCTATGTGCTTCTTCCATAATATACTGGAATTTTGCTACATCATAGCAGACTGCACTAGTAACACTCATTTTCTTTTTAATTCGCAGGCTCTTTCTAGCGCATTTTATTCTACTGTATTGATGGTTATGCGTATCATAGAAGGAATAATTATTAGCCAGAAAGCATATGAATTTGTATATAAGCATGCGCTGCAGATTTAGACCGCTTGTCTCTTTGTTATGGAAACTGCATTTTCCATGGTTTCATATTAGTAAGCACGCGCTGTGTTTGGCTAATGATTCTAAAATTTCTTCTAAGGAGAAACCGCTTCTGTATTGCTAATTTAGTATACATCCTCGGTACTCTTTGCGTTGGCATGCACTCTCTGTTCTTGGGAAAGCACAACATCATATTCAGAGGGCTCACTGCAGGATGGTGTATTATCGTGGCAGTGTGCATGTACATATGCTGTTTTTACAAGATAACCATTTCAAATATGATGTATGCAATGTATTTGATGATAATCAATATAGGAACACTTCTGCTAATTGTGTTTCTCCGCTTTTTATTTGAGTTTAATGCAAGTGACCCACTTGCTGTTCCATTTGACAACATTCCAATTGCTGTGATTTGTTTCTTCTCCCTTGCTAATATGCTCTATATTACATCAATTCGGAAGTGTCTTATTGATGGGCTAGTCCAGCCTGTTTTCATACAGAGAAGAAAAAAGATAGAATCTAGAGTTGTTTATGCACGCAGAGAGTACCCCGAGATTTTCAATATCCAATAGAATGCATGACGAAAGTATCCAATTATCAGTAAGCTTCAGCTAGATAAAGAATCCTATAATTTACCCCTTATGAATTCAAACACTGAGAACAATGAGAACAGCAAGACAAAGGCAGTTGCAGAAAAGATGAAAGCCACAGATGACCAGGCACACATGCAAGTGCAGAAAATAAAAGACTCCAAGCTGGGAAAGCTTCTTCCAACAGAGTATGATCGCGTCTCTACAAAGCAAGTTGCGCTGATAAGCTTGATTTTAAACGCAGTTGTGGGGGTTTTTACGTATGCGCTTTGCATTGCGCTATTCAGTACGAATCCAATGGCCAGCTTTGCAAAGTCCGCATGGGGAATAGTTTTGGGGATTCTGTATCTTTTAAGCTTTGGGCATGATCTATTTGTCTATTTGACAGACAAGGGGACTATGCTTCTCTCCTTCTTAGGCCTGCGGGCTCTAAGTCTGTTGGGAACAATCGTGGTGACTTTATTCCTTTCTGGTGTTTCAGCAACTCTTATGTTTAAGAGTTTCATTATACTGATCAACATATTAGCCTGTGTGGCGTACATGTATATATTTTCAATATATATTTCGCACATAAAGACAGGAGGGAGTGTGTCGGGTGACCACCAGGAAGTATAGTATGCATTTTTATTTTTAAATAGATAATAGCTAGTAGTATACTAAATAAAGCAAATTATACTAAGTTTTGTACATTTGTCTTTGCGAAGAAATCATGTAAGAGGAAGTCATATATTCCCTCTCTTCATATTACTGCAGTGCGCAGAGATACGGAGTTTAATGTGTAATGCGAATTGGTGGGTATTATGTGCAGTGATCTGGTGTTTCCAGATGCTGTCAGTGGAAGCATACTGGGCTTCTTTCGCGTGGCAGATCCATCACACATGTTTCATCCAACTATCTAGTCTGCTCAAGGCCGATTGGTCATTTCCAAACTAAACTTGGATTTCTTCTACTTTTTTATATTCTGGTTATATCCATGCTTATAATACAATATAAAGCATGAAAATCAGCGATAAGATTCTGAGCTATTTGTTAAACTATTCTTCTATAGAGTGCAGGCCATGCAAGGAAATATACTGCATATTTATGTAATCTTCTGGAAAGTGCTACTTTTCAGTATATAAAGACATGGGCATGGCTTTCTACATAATTGAATGTTTTTTCTTTTATTTAAAACTCTACAGATGCAAAGATTAAACTATAGAGTTTATAAATAAAAGAAAAAAAGCACATTTTTATACGCTCTGCATAGAATCTGACAATATACATTTTATTAGCGATAATAGCAAGTGATGGGGTTTGTTGACATGACACGCCATAAATTGATTGGTTTATTAATTTTGATAATACATCAAAGCTAAATTAAGCTCAAAATATCTAAAGAGGGGAGTTTTCGGATATATACTAAGATTTAATTTTCCTATGGGACCAGAGTGCATATGGCGTGCATAAAGATGATTTTGACGTGTAGCAAGTAATATCCATAAAAATATATTTTATTTTAAATAAGTGTGTACTTTATATTCTATATGTGGCAAAATTACCACTTCACTAGAACTTTCTTGTTATTGCAGGAGAATCTAAATAAAGTGGTCCTTACAGAGAGATTATCTCTGTTTGGGAATCTGACTCTGCGTATAAAATCAGACACAATTCTGCAAAAACCCAAAATATAGAACAAGTTCAAAGAAAACCACTTGTTGAAAATACTTTTACCACAGAGACAAAAGTTCTTCATCTATATTTGTGTATATTAAGCTGCTATTACAAGCGATAGCGCTTCTGTATCTATTGAGGGTTACTATGTTATTTGTCTATAATAAATTGCGCATACATGAACAGATTCTATTGCTTAAACAGCAGATCTTGAATATACATATGCTGCAACTTTGTCTTTTATACCAGTATTTTTAGCGACTAAAGCCATTTCATTGACTAATACAGGATCTATGGGAGCGATGCTTAAAAATGACGACATAGGTGGAATTCCAAAAAGGGCTGCCAATACATAAAACAAAAAGAAAACAGAGACAGCAACCCCACCGATTTGGATGATTTTACTGTAGAATTCTTCATCTTCATACTTTGCCTTGGAGCGTAGTTTCTTTCTGAGCTCATTTGGCGTTACTCCTTTAACGCTTTTCTCAATAAGCCAGTCACCCACTTTTGGAGAAAGAATTGCCCATACAACCTGGTCTACAAATGCAACCAGAGAATATACTTTGAAGAATATGATTATAGAGAGCAAAATCCCTTTGAAAAAAAAGTATGACATGGTTAAGCGGTTTTTTTTGTATAGGCGATCTTTCTTTTTATCTGATTCTTCGAGCTCAGATATTTTGTAGTACTGGCCTATTGTCTCACCAAAGAAAGCAAGGCACGCAACCAGAGTAGTTCCCACTGGCCCGTGCAGACACATTACTGCTTGCTTCATTCCACTCAGCAAAGAAGGCCCGAGATAATCACACTCATTGATGCATCTTGTTATTGTATAGTTCAAAACAAACATGTCCAATAAGATGGCTGTAGAGATCAACACGAAGATCATAGACTTGAATAGAGAAAGTGAGAATATAAACTGCATTAAAGTATACGTACTTCTTCGCAATACAACAATCCATTTGCTTTCATTCAATTTAGCTTTTGCTTTTTCTTCTTTTAGATCTACAAGTATCTTACCATCCTTAAAGTAATCTTCAGGATTATAATGTATATAAGGACACCCCTTGTCACGCACAAGCAACCAATACTGTTCATATACAGATATTTCCTCATTGTTATTGCCGTCAGCAGTCTCAATATCGTATATGGTGTTTTTCTCTTTCTCATGCGCTTTGCAGAGTACGTCATAATTCTCTTTATAGTTTACGCAGTAGTAACCATGTGTGAACATCTGCATCAGCCATATTAAAACATGCAACTTCCCACCATTTGCAACAAGAGCAAGAAGAATGATATTGTACGAAACAATGGACTCGCATATGATAGCCATAAGCTTAACAAACTTGCACAGTGCAAGCCACAAAAACGTGCCGGCCTCTTTTGGTGTTTCTGTAGCCACTATTAACTTCTTGGAAGGGTCTATTGGTTTTCCAAGCACACCACAAGCCCACAGCATGCTGATTGCTACTACTAAAAACATTATCTTTTGCATATTCTGCATTTTGTATGCTTGTTTCATTTTCTAAAAAAATTTTCTGAGATTTAATAGTGTAGATACTCTATACTTTAATAACAATCTTTAAATTATTTAGAATTTCTAACATATGTGGATTTTATGTGAAGCGCCGGAGGGTTTACAGATATTCCAATATGGTTTGTGCTCCTGTTCTTGTGCAGAGGGATATGTATATTCGGGTTATTTGGGTTTAGATATCTTTTGATACTAGAATTTAATTTATGTAATTTGCAAAAAAATCAAACAGATTTTTCTGTGTGATAATTATTTACGCGTAGGAGAGTCTCACTGATGAAAGAAGTCATACTCTAGCAGGCCAAAACTATTTATTCAGACAGAACCCGATATAATTGAATTCTGTATATTACAGGCATATTTTATATAGTTTGAAGTTCTTGCTGGTGGTATAGAGATTATTTTGCATAGTACCATGTAGTAATTGTGTAAAATAGGAGAAGTAGGCCTTGTGCATTGCCTTTTACAAGAACCAAATCTATCCAGTGTACATGACATTGCCCTTTCAAGTGCATGCAGTTGTATGTGACGTGCTGACTGTGACTAGAGTGTTAAATAAGAAAGAATGTGTGTATGGTATTTTAGGTGCTGGATTATATTGGGTTATGTGTTTAGTAGGCCTTTTTGCATGTTTATTTTAGCTATTCAATGTTATATAGAAATGCACAGCTGATTTTCTTTCGGGTTATATTAGGCTATTTAGAATATATCCTACTAGAGAAATATATATGGCAGCATGCTGTGTTTTTTCGAATGGAGAAGGAAAAAGTTTAAACTATTTAAAAGGGATTCTCAAATAGGCAAGGCCATAGTATATATATAAGCCATAGAAGTGAAAATTGTATTTTGCTTCTTTTAATTAACACGCATATATACATATGTTTAATCTTTATAATAACCACTTTCAAGCACTTCAATTACTACAAGCGATGCAAATACCTCTAAAGTGTAATATCTAGAATAAAGAAACAGTGTAGATGTTGAAGAATCTACATTTAAGCAGGACTTTCAGAAGAAAGTGCACTTTGGCACATAATTCCTGTATAACTGAGTGCAGTGTTTGGAATGGTGGTATGCATATCCATCCATGTGGTATACACCACCCATTTAGCCTGCGTATAGTATATAAATGTATATCCAGCGGTCGGCATTCTTACAGTGCATATGCTGCTTTCTTCTGCATATTTTATCCAGTGGCTGCATTTTCTAAAAATATGTGCAGTGTGTATAGAGTGTGGACTGTAGCCATAGTGCTTGAGAAAATAGCTGCGGGTGTTCGGGATAAAGCGCTGGAAAACTTTCTCTACGATGTTTTTATATCAAACAAAAGCCTCTTTACAATTGTAAATGGAATAATAGACGAGACAAGCCTAGACAATGTCCCAATCCTTTCAAAAGAGCTTGCGAAAAAGACCATTTTCCAGCTAGAATTTGCCACAGTGGCTGCAATTGTTCTTTTCCTCCGGGGGATGATGAGCATATTTGTTAAGAAGATGCCTATTGTTCTATATCTCACCCTATTTGATTACTTCGATGCCCGATATTGCAGAATAGCAAATTCGCAGGGGTGGTACGATGCAGTTGTGTTTTCTATGCTCTTTCTGCTAATGATATACTGCGCAAACTGTACTTTGTGCGAGGCCGTTGCATTTCGGGAGCGGTACTTACAAAGCCAAGTGCAGATTCAATAGCAATGAGGAAATAAATTATTTTGCAAAAATCCAGAGAAAGGCTGCATGGTGGAAATATTTAATCAAGAAAAAGAAAATGTGCACCGGCAGTTTATTGCAAGAGTGCGGAAAGCAGGGTTTGTCAGGCTGGTTTGTATCTCCCGGGAAATAGATCACTTTGCAGCGCTGTTCTCGCTGATAGTTTTGCTGGAGCGAGAGATTATAAAGCACGAGGTTATATGGAGCGAAACGAGAAGCGAAAAGCGGAAGGTTTTTGAGATAGGAATAGGAGAGGGATGCGGTATTGAAAATGGCGCGGTCATAGGGACGCAGAGGGAAAAGAGTTCAAGAAATGTAATGTTTTTGCTTGGTGAGTCACTGGAGGCTGTTATGTTCGATCTCTGTAAAAACATAGGACACATGCCGCCCGACTGCCTATGGAGCATCTGTGTGTCCTTGCACGGACGCGCTAATAATATGGAGCATCCCATGTGGAGAAGCCCAATAAAAAATAATCGAGCAGAGCAAAAATCAGAGGATGAAGATTCCGGCTATGAAGAGATAGAGAACAGGTTTGCAAACCATGAGCAAGCAGATGATATACAGCGAGAGGTTGCAGCTGAAGTTGCGCGGCTGGAAAGAGATGATGATGAAAAGAAGTCCATTCAGAGGCTGAGGGGCGTGTACTTTCCGTTTAGCCAGTGGTGCACGCTGTACGAGGCTCTTCTCCAGGACTTTGGGGTCATAGAGGAGCTTGGGCTGTTTTTCCAAAGGAAGAAGACGAAGCACTGTCTTTTGGAGAACCCGGAGTACCTGCTGAACCAGTTTCTGGCGCGGCTGGGCGTCTCTGTGGCGGCAGCGCAGGAGACCTCACTGAACAACCTAGTGGGGCCCGTGCAGACAGTGGTCCAGAAGAGCTTTAACAAGCGAGAGATATACTTTAAGCACTATCAGTATAACCTTGGGTTTTCCCACATTGAGGCATTCTACACTATATGCCATCTTATTAAGACGGGGTGCTTCACAGAGGCCGTGTTCTCCTTTAGAAATATAAAGTTCATGGACGTAAAGAAGGGCCTTGTTGAGTATGCAAAAATAGTGCAGGACGTAAAAAAAGGAGTTGAGAGAAGAAAGGTTCTGAAGGTGGACGGGATGAGTATGGTTCTTATTCCGAAGGGTGCTGTCTCTTTTAGATCGCACAATGAAATCACACTGATGAAAAAGGTTTTTGCGGGCATACACCATCTGTGCAGAATAAAAAACCCGCATAAAGAAGTTATTATGGCAGCGTATGTTGAAGACTGCAGAATATATCGGGTGTTTTTTAAGGAGAACGGCGAGATATGCTGGGAGGACGTGCAGGAGAAAGGCCTTAACAACCACATTATAGGCATTCTTACCCGGCTGGAAAACGAATAAGCGCATGCTAAGAGAAGTGAAACCCGCCAGAATACAGGCGCAGATAGTTGAGTATATAAGCAGGAAAGAATTCAGAAGGTATCATGCAGGCAGAGCGTGTGTGATGCGAATTGCACTGTTTTTTATGGAAATCAGTTTATATAACGGATGTAGGGATGAGAAGATATGTGCGGTTAAAGATAGAATGGTATTTGTTTGCGCTTGGATTTGACCCGAATTGCGCGTGATGGAAGCTAGCTGTTCTTCTTTTTATAATAAAGTTTAAATAGTCAAAGTTTGGAGGATATTTAGGTGCTGCAGAATATGCACTAATTTCAAGATGATTCTGCACTGCATGTCGGTGTCTTTGTGTGATATAACCCGAGTGTATTTGTGCTAGAGAAGTGTGTATATGGATACAGCTGCCATTTATCCTTGCAGCAAGCGTATTTTGTATGTGCAAGTTTGACTCTGTTTCAGCTAGAGGCACTTCCAATCCACAAATACCTTTTCTAATTTACTTAAACAGATTACTCTTTCAATATCATGGAATGTGCGCACAAATTTGCAATAAATATGCATGTTTATTCCTGCTGTAGCACAAGAATGCACTGCAAAAACGACGTTCATAGGTGGATAGGCAGTGTACCAATTATTTGCAGACTAGCAGAATACTGTGCAATAAGTAGAAAACTATCATGAAATAGAACATGTCATGAATAAGAGTAAATTATTTATTTATTCTTTGGGTATTTGAATAAATTTTAATGTGTCCAAATCTCTCTAAGGTAGACAACAAGAATGCTAAAAGCGCTCTGGAGAAGCCCAAGGGAGACTTCTCTCTAGACACTCCTACCAAGGTGCAGAGAGCCGCTGTTTTTGTCAGAATTGGGATTGAGTGGTTGCTGGGCGCCTGCTCGTGCCTTTTCCTTTTAATGGGCCTGCACAGAGACATCACAAAGGACGGTCTTGTCTCTGTAGTGCCGAAGGTAGTTATCTTTTTTTCAGTGTGCGTCTCAATGTACAGCTGGAGACAGGCAATTCTTAACTCTCTTCTCTCTAGGAAGGAGGAGCATCTATTCTTCCACAAGACAACAATCGCCATCATCATTGGCCTATTTGGTGCTATTTCGGGGAATCCGTGGTTCCTATTTTTTTTAACAAGCCGCTCCCTTAGCATGCAGATGTTTGTTCTGATGTTTTTTACGCATAGCATTATTTGGGGCTCTACTTTTTTCATGGAGAGTGCGCTGATAAAGCAGGTGATCTTTCTATATCCAATCATAGCTACTGGTATCGTGAACTTAGAGGAAATTCTTTCTGATAAAGGGATGCACTGTGCATATAGAAAAAGCAAAAAGTATCTTCTTGGCCTTTCCATGACGTTTGTTTCTTTCTGTATCATAGGATTTATCTTTTCGCCGCATGCTGAGGTCAACCAAATACTCTTCACCACGCCAAAAAGACTTTATGTATAGGCGGGTCGAAGGGTTCTGTACAATGGACCAGTGTAATAAATGAGGCTATTCGGGCTATATTAAGATTACATGCATCTATTTTTACTGTGCGCTGCAATTTGGATGCTTTTTAAGAAAAAGTGGTTTTCAAAAAGACTTTCATTATAATTCATGGCAGCACATACTAAGAGCACACTTTCAGCCCAGAAAAGCACATATTTTTTATTATAAAAGTTAAATTTATTTGAGAAAAGCTGCAGCTAAATGCATTGTCCAAGGAATATGTGATTTGGGGATTCTTGTAAAAGTGTCTAGTGTGCCATATAGAAAGCATAGTATACTGAAAGTATTAGTCCAATATAACTCTAGTAGCTTGCTGCGCTGTCATTTATTAATTAAATGCGCATCGAACACACTAATTGCTTATCTCCAGAGCCTAAAAGAGTATTTACAACAAGGCCAATTATGTCTAGCATATACTTCCCTTTACTATAAAAATTGTAAAAATTATAAAAATTATATTTAAAAAATTATGAAGAAGATAAGAAAAGGAGTACGACGATTAGCATTTATACTTATAATAATAGTATTGGATGCACACAAAAAAGGGTGCTGGGCAGCATCTGATTCTTCAGAATCCTTGTATCAAGACATAACGATGCAGCTTTTAAAATTCATTGATATACTGGATTTCACGCAAAGTGCATCGACATCTTCTACAAGAAATACAAGTGAAGACACAAGTATAAAGAGTGCTATAAACAGTAAAGGCGATGAGGAGGCATTGCCCATAGAGAAGATAGGCGTGCTTTCTGCTTATCCATATTCGAGCGGTATATATATGGGTTCACCGAGCTATGCAGAAAGAATGGCAAATATTTTTAATAATTTTTGGCTGTATAGACTCGCAGTAAATGTAAATTCCCCCAAAAAAGCTATAGAAAAGTTTGATATAGAAGGAGAGTACGTAGCATATATAGGCAAGGCAAACCCATTATTGTGCATTAAAGCGATACCTGCTTCTGGTGAATACGATGAAAGGGAAGTTATTGACGCAGCAGAGAAGTATATGGTTCTTCCTTTGAAGAAAGATACAAAAGAGGATAGCAAAAGCTTGAAAAAACCATATAATCGAAAGCTTAGAAAAGCCTTAAAAAATATTGCAAAGTATCTAGCAGAGAAGTATGAGGTTCATACAATAAATATTCCAAAATGTAAAAGCTGGATTATTTACTATGCAAATCTATTAGGGGAAATAAACAGCCCATATAATGAAGGAAGATACATAAATCTAGCATTAAATAATGAGAATTTAATGAATTTAAAAAGAAAAAACCAGATAAATAGCTTGGAAAGCAGTCAAATGCAAGAACAGTTTACTTCAAAGGAGCTTCAAATTAGATCCCCAATACCAAAAAACACTGAACAGAACTTGTTTGAAAATAGTGCTGCTTTTACCGTCTTAATATGGAAATGTAAAAATGGGCCGTATAATATGTTTTTTGATGTTCTGCCGATGAGAAAGAAGTCAGAAAACTCCGCATTCTCCTTACAAGAATATAGAAACCCGAATGAAAACATGCCAGGCTATGCAGAAAAACAGATGCACAAAATGTTCATTTTATTTGCGCATGGGTTCTACAATGACAGCTTAGGGTATATTTTAAAATTTGACGCTGTAGAAGTCGATCCAAATAAGCCCAGCGCATTCGAAAATTTAGAGAATGTTATAGAACCTCCTCAAATTGAAGAAATCACTAGCAGTGATAGTAATCTAAATGAGTCCAGCCCATGTGAGAATTTAAAGAATGTTATAGAATCTGTTCAAAATGAAGAAGTCAATAGTATTGATGAGGATCCAAATAACTCTGGAATTGAGGGCATTAAAAATATCATATACTCTACTGCCCCTAGAGACATTGAAGATCCTGCTGAAACTGAGGAAAGTTCGAATAATGATGAAGATCCAGAGAAAAATGAAGTGCCAGTAGATAAAGAAGCCGCAACTAAAAAACATGTGGCTGAAGAGGGCGCCGCAGTCAGTAGTCCTGAATCTAAGCATATTTCATCTCCATTAGAAGATGCAAAGGATATAAAACAAGATGACTTAGATTCTGCAAGCTTTAATGAGAATAATGATGCTAAAGAAGCAGAAGGCACGCTACATAATGAGAAAGTGCATGACCATGGCGAGCATCAGACAGATCCGCCCCAATATATAGAACTGCCTTCTGGCTCTAGCGAAAACAATATTATACCAGAAAGAAAGATGCCTCTTTTACCTCCTTTGGATAAAATTCAGAGAATTAGTCCAGACAAGGTTGGCAAAGAAGCAGATATATTTAGGAATGTAAGTGAGTCTGTTGACATAAATACTGATACGAATAAAACAAAGCATACTTCACAAGACTTTGCTAACCCAAGAAAAGAAAAGACGCTTACTCTAGATTCTGAAAAGAAAGAAGAATCCTTTCATCCTCCAGAAACTGCACATTCATCGGATAGTGAAATGCACATTGAATCAACTGATTATGCATCTATTGAAAGTTCTAATTCGAGCATGCACTCCTGCATAGAAACTGCCCCAAGTGTGCCTGATACAAAAACACACTCAGGGCATACTTTAAAACAGCAGCACCTAGAGAAGAAGCCTGAATATAGCGCTGCAAATCCTAGTATATATACTGGAGGCTTGGCACAGACAAAGCCTATTTTAGAGAAGTATAAGGCTGTACAGAGTATGCCTTCTGAAAAAAAGTTGGCAAAAAAGCAAAGATCCCTTCGTCAGCTGCTTATGTGCATAATGTGGATTGCTCTAATTTTAAGCATTATTCTTTTTTGTATTTTTATTATACTTATTTATAAGCAACAGACAGAAATAGAAAAGCTGAATGAGTTAGATGCAGATATAGCTGTTACTGGCGTATAGCTGACTAAAAACAAAAATACTATGCATTGGTTTTCTGCCCTGAGGGCGTGAAACCTCCTTCCCGGACCAGCAATATAGATTGGCGCTGGTGAATGCCTTCTGGGTTTGGCTGTAGGCCAACCCTCTATAAATGGCTCTTGATTGTTTATATGTATTAATTTTAGTGATCTAGGTTTTCTGGCAGTGTATATGTGTCTATGAGCATAACACTAACAGGAAAATATCACTAGAAACTATATATAGACGACAAGAGGTAAATTACATTCTGGTTATTATGACTAAGTATAATAATTCAAGAGGGGAAACTAACTAGCACAAGCAGCAATTTATATATCTAGAAGATTATATAAAGTTTAGTTATTCTTTATAGACGTACACAGGAATTTTGGATTGCTTTTTTACTAGCATACTTTTCTGTGCTGGCTAATTGTGAATACAAGATGCCTTTGCATGCTCATCTAGTCTATTAAACTAGACTAGCTTAGACATGCTGTGCTTTATTCCAAGAAAAAAAGAGCCCTAAACTACGAATTCTATAATAAATTCATATAAACTATCTATTATTACTATTATACTGTCTATGCCCTGCAATACCCCGCTGTATAAATTCAAAGCATGCCCTCATCAAAGCACTAAATCGATCTTTTACTCAAACCACACTCCTCCCTGCTGTTTCTATTGCTCATTAGTGCAAATCCACGATTTGTTTCTTCCTGTGCGAACAAAAATATTTTGTACAGATTTTGCCTCCGTATTCCTTTGTTTGCTCCTTGATGAGAAGTAGAGCCACTGTACAGAAAAACAGGAGAAGTAAAAAATTTTAAGTTATGGTTTACAATGCAGAGCAGGGAAAGCTGCCCGAATACACGCGCGCTTTTGCGCGAAAAGCAAAGTCACTCCTTTATAAATGTCCTGTTGTTTTCTTTGGCGCAGTTCTTTATCTTATGTATGTGATGACAGTTGGCGAGAAGATGTTCTCGTGCACTGGGTCCTTCCCGGGCGCCGAGGTGCACACAGCCAGCGCTATTCTATTTGTGGCAGCTTCCTGCGTTTCCCAAGTTTTATTCTTTGCTCTCTCTTCATACACGTCGGGGGTTATATCCTCGCCGATCTCTGAGTCGTTCAGGTACGTGCAGAGCATGCACGAGTCTCTTGCCGCTGGTCTGCCGGTGGAAAGGGTCTTCACAAACCTTTTTGTGTGTCTTGCTCTCTCTGTGCTTCTTACAAGCGCTGGGTTCTTTCTGATGTACATTCTTCGCGCTGAGCGCATGATCAACAGGATACCCTCTGGGCTGTCCATGGCGCTCTTTATTTCCATAGGGTTTCTGTGTGTGTCGTATGCAAACGAGCGGGTGTGTGCTGTCTCCAGCGCAGCAGGAGTGTACTGGCAGGCTGTTTTGGCGTTCAATGCAGTTGGCGTTGCTGTCACTCTTCTGTGCAAGGTGTGCAAGAAAAGGTGCCCTGCTGTGGCACGGTACAGTGTGCTTTGGGCTGGTGTTTTGCTCACCGCTGTGTTCTATGTGTGGGCACTCATAAAGGGGGAGACAACAGCCTCTCTCCTTAACAAGGGATGGCTGGCAAGTGACCCGCGCAAGGAGGTGGTTCTGGCTGTGCCGCGCATGGCTCTCCCCCACATAGACCTTCGCGCAGTGCTTTGGGAGATTCCGTCAATTGGGAAGATTGCTGCAATGAACCTCATGCAGTTTCCAATAAACTTTCCCCCAGCAAAGGCGCAGACCGGCAAAAGTGCGCGTGCGCGAAAGGAGCTGCTTGCAAACGGAGTGTGCAACGCAGTAACCTCTCTTTTTGGCTGCTCAGTGCAGGTGCTTCCGTCTTCCACAATTGCGGTGTACGAGTCTGGGTCCAGGCACATGGCAGACACGCTGCTGTTCACTGCTGCGCTGATTGGGTCTCTTGCTGCAGGACACAGACTCCTTCTCTATGTTCCATTTGCTGTGTTTGACATGCTCTTTCTCTGTCTGGGGCTGAACATTGTGCTGCAGTCCGGACTGGATGCGTTCGCAGAGGGGTGGGGAGTGTTTGCAGGCGCGGTCTGCGTGTCTGTTGTGTCCACGGCCACAGGAAGCGTGCTGTGCGGTGCTGCTATGGGCGCACTTCTGTACGCGGGGAAGTATATGTATACACAGCACAGCAGAGTGTGCTTCTCCCCTTGCGAGGTGTAAACAGCACAGACAACATGGTATAAAGGATAGACAGCATATCCACAGAGCAATAGGTGTGTGGGCGCATGGCTTGCAGTGGTAAAAGTGACTGCAGAGAGTATTCAGACGGCGGCTTAACCCGAAAACATCGCTGATTTACATCTCTGTATAGTGTGAAAATAAGGCACTTCAATGCACATGC